CTTTCGACAAGGAAGTTGTCACATCATCCTGGTCATTTGCAAGACAGACTGTGTCTTCATTTCACAATTACTTTCATTTTTATCAAATTTCTTCGTCCTTCAGCAAATATTTCTATCAGTCATCAATGAACAGGGCTAGTTTTCGAGCTGTGATGCAGGAGCGTCGTCGTCGTTTAAGCATCTTGTCTGAACAAACCAACCGTAACGCCCGCCACTTGGAGGTGCAACATCGCCTTTGTTTGTTTATTATACGGCGAGTGGAGTTGGACATCTAGTAGTAGTATATATTTACGATTATATATTACAGTTAAATTATCGAAGACTTCACAAAGGCATCCGATGGTTAAACCCCAAAGCTGAACTTGCATAGGAACTAGCAATGTGGCAGATTCGTTATGACATCTATTGTTAACCTCACCAATGGCTAATCAGAAAGGATGTCAACGGGGGTGGCAACAATTTTAATTTTAGCAGCCGCTCAGACATAAGCTAGCTACCCCCCCTAACATTCAACATTTTTTAAATTGTCATTTTGCGGCATTTGCAGTGAGACATAAATTCCTACGCCTTTTCCAACACCCATTTACCATTTTACTCTATTCTTGAACGATTTACTGAAAATTGACTTTTCCTGAACTGCTTTCAATAATCCTTTCACCAAATGATAGAACCGAAATAGATGGAAATGCGCGCTTGTATACCTTGGATAACTTCTACAGCGAAGTGGATAAGTTCTTTAAGATAGGATAGGATTTACATATTTATCCAAGGAGAGGAAAGTTGATAAGACGGCTTAACCATATGGTGAACCACGGCCTCTCGGTTACCATTCCATGTCGGGTATGGGATTAGGTAGTTAGTTATTTGTTTTCAGAAGCATGGACTTGATGGTGGAGAAAGCCGTAAACCGCCCAGCGCTTAGCACGATGAGCATAGCGCCGCGCGTAGATATTGTTAGATATCATTGGCTGCCTTCTATCCAGGCCTCGTTTCGGAGCAAAAGGCCACGAGTAAGCGTCGTAGTACGTCTTTATAGCAAAGGAAAATTTGGCACCCCCAATACACAACACTGTGTAATGTGCGTAAGGCTTGGCAAATGTATTATACTACGTGTTCTAAACATCATTCAAAGATTTAGCCAATTTCCCATACTTCGTCAGTTCGTTGTGGATGTTTATGTACGTTTTTAGAGGAAATCGATATTGTTGTTGTTCCCAGATGTCTACCTAGATTTCGATATATTCGTTATTGAAATCAAATTATTCTATTTTGAAGTTTCTTCTTTCGCTGGTTAGCTTGTATAGTGTCTGATATGACAAAAATCCATGCAATAACAGACAAAAAGTCATTTTATTTAGTTTTGAATGTGTTTATTGACAACTTTCAATGTATTTCTGAGTTTTATTGTTTTCATAGAAAGTGTCCTTTAAACAGTTTCTGAACTGGCAAACTAATGTTTACACCATATCTTCAGGAAATTTGCTATGTTGCATTTTCGAACAAATATCCGATTTTAGGAAAACGCCTGATTTACGCAAAAACGAAAATTGAGTTTCATTTTATGTCATTTTGCCTAGGTAACTCATCACGCTATAGTGTGGGAGCAAGTGGGATCCAATGATAAGAATTTTTTAAACATCATGGAAACGGCGAGACTTAACATTTACATCAATTTTGTGTTTAAAATATGTTATTTTCAACTAATAGCTAATTTACTCGAACGTGGTATCATGGTGTTGTTCGCGCCCATCATTGAACAAACGTCCTCGGAGGTTCTGTCTTGAATGGATTATTAGACTAGAAACCAAAACGTGTATATATATATATATCAAGTAGAAATATTTCACAAGAATGGACGGTTACAAAATACGCCAGCCTCATCCATTTCATCAATGACGGAAGACGTGTATTGATATAAAACCTGATAATTATTATGCAAATGCTGTTTGTCGTTTTTCTTCATTTCAACCTTTAATGTTAAATCTGTATCTACCTATTTCATTTAGGGCTTGGGTTGTTAATCTATAAAGTATTTATTTCTATTCCTAATACTTATCACGGCCTGCACAAACAATCGCCCATTGTATACGTGGGTGAAAGAAGATTCGTGGTGAAAATACGTTATCACGGCCTGCCCAAACAATCGCCCATTGTATACGTGGTGAAAAGATTTCGTGAAAAAATTAATTTCGTTGCTTCAATATGTTTTACAATGTATATATGTATGGCGAAAGGGGAAGCACAGTAGAAAACTTATATCTTACACGATCCTTGTAATAAATTTATGTTGTTACTATGTCTTTGTTCTCCACCTCACGCGACGTAAGAGCATACACAATAAAATTTTATTAAAAATTCGAATATGGCATAAATAGTAGATATCGAAAGGAATTATAGGACAATTAACATTACCTTGAATTTACTTAGGAATCTATTTTTCCCGTTTTAATGGGCTGGTTTTCATACAATGTAACATCTTTTCTTTACCGTCACGAACAATGTAGAGTAATCTAAATCTTTGCTGATACCAGAATCAAAAACAACGATCTGCTTGTTATCAAGTTTGGCGCAGATGTTTAGCTAAATTTAAAATACAAGTGCAGGCAATAATATACCACTGTAGGTATAAACACGAGTGTTACATACCAGAATCAAGAATGAGAAAAATGACAAGTTTTCGAATATCATATACGCGAATGATGCTGTACTGGGATGACCACCTGGTGATATTCAGCGTGTAACTTCATTTACGATGAACGAACCAAAACGCTTATAATCAATACCGAATCTTAAACTGTTGTGCTCGGCGATTTGAATAATTTTCATAATCCTAGTTTTTGAAACATATACATATACAACGTTCCTGTTTTCAGTTCAATACGCCGTGATTTAACATTCTGACCTCATTCAAAATAGAATCAGTCGGTGAAGCAAAATGACTTTTGTATCTTGATAGTGCTAATTTTTTCAGAAGTACTGTATATATTGATATACTGTATCAAACATTATGGAGATATATTTGACTGAAATTGCCTAAAGGATGGGTCTTTTATCCTGCGTATGGATGTAGTAGAAGAGCTTTTAAGTGCAGCTAGAGCCGATGCAATTGCATTCGTGCAATCGTAGGACCACCAAGAGGCGGAAAATTTATGATTGCTAAAGCATGTTCAGACTTATCTGGAACGACCAAAGCAGGTTTATTCATTAGTGTTTATTCCAAAACTTTTTTTTATCACAGTCCCTCATTCTACTAACTTATTACCACATAGGACAAGCGGCAACATTTTAGCCAGGTGTATCAGGTGATAGCAACATACGAATATAAAAAATTATACTAAAATGATATGCAATATTGCGGGTTGCAAAAAGAGTGGTGAAAAATAACTTGATATTTTTAAATGCCAATCCTCCAAATTTACCGCGTGTAGAGAGCTAATGGCAAGTGTGATAAACGTTATAATATATTAACATGATATTATTATAATAGATTATTCAAAGCTTTGAGTTACAATGACAGCATTATAATAATCTGGAAATGTGAAATAACGAAAGTGGGTTGTGGAAATATAACAATTAGTTTGATATGTTATGGCATTTCATAAGAAAGACAAATTTGGCCAGCTATGTCTTTACAGTATTACAGATTTTTCTATTGTTTTCAATATTAGGACCCAGCAAAAACTGAATGTATTCCACTTTAGATGGAACTGAGAGACCAAGACATATTTGATTACAATGCAATCAGAGACCACGACGATGGTTATATTCTTGCACTTAGAAGAACAGTGGATTTTAAGCACGTAAGTGGACTTTAGGAGTGGACACAAAATGTTTAAAGTGCTACCTAATTTTCATCGATTTAAATAAGATAGTAATACAAATGTGTGTTAGTGTTGGAAATCTTGTAATTTATATGTTGGAGTTTCCCAGACGTTTTCTAGACGCCATTGCTTCTGTACTATACAGCCAACAATATTTCAGTTAGGCCTGTCGAAGGTTTCATGACGGTGCTTTTGATTTTTTGGACCTCCAGAAGTGTGTGCACCAAGATGGCGCTCAACCTGAACATAGTATGGGTACCAGATTGGGGTTCAGGTTGTGCGCCATCTTGGTGCACATACTTCGGGAGCGCCGATTTTTTATGACATGTTGGCGTATTTATGTAAGAATCACTTCTTAAATTTTAATCCGCTGTTAACAATTAGTTAGGCTTTGTAAAAATAGAAAATATAACCGATAAATGGAAACAGGACATTGGTGTAGAGTAGGGTAAGTACGGACAAGAGACACAGATTTTTAGAGCCTTATTACGACTGACATCCAATATCTTCGCAGATGAAAGTATATTTCATTGTGACTCAAATTCCAAGAAACTTGGATAAGCCGAAGGCAAATAAACTTCTACTTTGGACAGCAATGCTAAGCTCTATTCAAATATTCAACATACCGAATCAAATATTAGAAATGGATGAGCTGCGTACCAAGGTAAATATTATTTATAGCATTCTCTATATCATCTCATTTCGCAAACATGAGCATGTCCACTTAATAAATAACTCCGATGAGTTCAATGCATTATAATAGGATTGAGTTTTTTAAATATTCACCTTTACCCACTTATACTGACTATAAGTCGGGATCACAGAGTAGTAAACTGGTCATTTTATTCTCCAATTTTTTCATTTGAGAATCGTAAAAACTATTTTCGAGCTAGCACGTGGGAGCTGACAATATATAACAACCCCATATATTTAACAGTGTAACTGTATTGTTCCAGATCATTATACAATACAACGGATTTATAGCATCGGAAAATATCAGGACAGTGGTAAGTTACCAGGGGCTGATATTATTTAGAATATTCTTACACATCCATAGCACACTGTTGACAATTTTGGAATGATATGTTCCTCTCCATTTACTTAACAAACAGTCATGATTACCTCTTCAGTTCATTGTTTCATCTGAAGTTGTTGAAATTTCTATCAATATATATATAGATTTTTCTTCGCGACGTACTACGGGGAAACTACGAGATGAGAAAAGAGAATGTCGGCGAATCACAGGTGGATTGCTATACCCTACCTTCACCAGGACAAGACATATTCAGAGCAGGTTTGTAATCGAAGGTCCGAAGAGCATTAGCTTATCGATATTTTTACTATTTTTATAAGTGATTGAACAAAGTCGCAATCACTGATTGACCACCATAGTAATCTAACTTATAATTTAAGTATTTTTGTGGTACTAGGGTGGGGAGTGTCACCTATAACGCCAGGCGTCCATTGAAGTTCTGCCCCTTCTATTTATCTCCTCAAAACACTGTGGTTATTTGAAAAGACTACATATGCTTCTTCTAAGATAGCTACGTCTTTTCAGTAAAAACCATTTGTCTAAAATTTGTATTTTTTGAAACGACCACGACCCCTCGAAGACCAATTGTCTTCTCAGGTCTTCCTAGCAATACCCTTTTCTCTAATTATACATGCAATTGGTTCTTACAGGAACATATGCTTGACTATATTCAGTGTTATATTTCATTACGTAATAGCAAATTCCCTTTGGGTTCTTACCAATTTTGGGCGCTCCCGAAGTATGGGCACCAAGATGACGCACAACCTGAACCCTAACCTGGTACATATATTATGTTCAGGTTGTGCGCCTTCTTGGTGCACATACTTCTGAAGATCCCAATTTAGATAAGAAATGTTAAGATTGAAAAGCTCTTGACAAACGCATCTTCACGAGACTTTTGTATACCTAACAATTCGAAATGATCAGAACGATTGTGAAAACCCTTTATTCCTCATATCACAACTAGTTCCAAGAGCCGCGATGGAGTTCAAAAGAGCATTGCTTGATCATTTGAGAAGAGTTGTTACGTCTTTGGAAGCAAGGACAATGTTCGGACAACTGGTATCGGGTTCTCAACTGCTTGTTTACTTGAGGGAACTCGATATGAAGAATATACGTGAGGTAAATTTAAGTAGGCTGTAGATATATATATATCATTGCCGAGAGATTCCTTCATTCGGGAAAGAAGATTAAATGACTATGCCATTTGAGTACATATCTTTGGATTAAATTATTCATTTTTAACTACAACCGCGCCATTTAATGCTCACGTGACATCAGAGTTATAGAAACCTATTCAACTAAAATAAACCACATTTTAGTCAAGAAATACGGCCTTCAAAATTCCCCCAAAAGTTAGGAAGAATCTGAAGTTATTGGCGATTTATTGGATTAGTTTGCTTGAAGCCTAAAAAAATTTATAAGACTGGCGCATGCAAATCAGTATAACTGGTAAGGTCGAGCTGAAGAATAATACCGACCATCGTCAAGCGAGCGTGAATATTTCCAACAATATATATCAACGAATTTGCAAAGCGGCAATTTGTCTGCCGTCTGTTTCCTTATATAAAAAACTTCATTATTATATTTCTTTAAAAGATTCCTAGAATAGTTTTTGTTAGTATAAATGAAATGTATTTTGCAGTCAATCAAAAGAGCAAGAGAAATCATCAGAGGAGTCTTGGACTTCAGACAACAGGTTAGTTCTTGAACCTACTTTGTCTCTTGATTTAGTCTATTTATTCCCATCAACGGAATTAATACTACAATTCTATGTCAACCCTTGCGTGTCGAAGGTTACAGCCATAGATAGTCACGAAACTTCGAACAGTGTATTTTTTGTTGAAACAGAGATGCCAGCCTTTTATAGTCGGGACACAGTGTTTCTTAACATGGGTTCGATCGAACCCCTGGGGTTCGGTGAAGCTGTTTCAGGGGTTCGACGGATGTCCTCTAAAACATTTGTATATCACTAAGTTATTTATCATTTATCACTGTTATCCAACCTAATAATTATTTGAAAATAACTTCATTTCACAGCAGATATTCAAACTTCAACTCATAAAATATCTTAGCTATGTGTAGTTTCGCACAGATATACGTTTCTGTGGCCCTGACTATGATCGACCCCAGTACACTTCATCGAAATTGTCGCACGTTAGCGTTTTGATAACAGCTAAACTCAGGATAGTTGTCTATAGAAATCCTGTATATTTGTTTTCCTAGGATGTTCTCGATCTATCTATTATGCGATATAGATAGAATTTAATATTCAAGTCTTCAGAAATGTAGAATAGGCTATATATTGTTGAATAAATTGAATACATTTTCCAACGTTTGTGAATTTATTGTATTGCATTGACAAAAGTATTTGTCCGGCCCGTTTCATCACAGTTTGAGTCATACCCGGCCAGCGGTCAAAAAAGTTGACCCCTGACCCCTGTTCTAGGGGTATTGTTTCAGCTTTCAAATCTCCAATGTGGCATTTTTTGCCCCATCCCTCTCCGCCCACACAAGTTATTCATACACCATAACGCAACAAGTCCCCTGCCACCTACGCCATTGTGAAACAACAATGGTTATTTCGACAAAGTGTATGTTTCCGAGGAGATTTTTGAGAAATATGTTAACTAAAAAATGCAATTAATCCTATGACTGTGTGGAGTTAATGGTTCTCTTGTTGCAATGTATGTTCCCGCTTATGAAGTTTTAGTTGCGCCCCTGGTTTCAACTGTTCAAAACGTCGGGGTTCGACGGAAGCTTGCAGAATAACATAGGGGTTCTACACGTTTGTAAAGGGTAAGAACCACTGGTTTAACAGATAAATGATCGTGTTCCACACAGAGAAGCTATTGAGAATGTTTTGAAAAATCTATCTGCCGAAGACAGAAAGAGAATAGAAGAATATATTACTATAGAAGTTCAAAGAATGCAGGAAGCCGGAGAGGTACAGAAACACAATAATATATATATATATAAAACGTAAGAGGTGTGACGCTTGTTTATTTAATTTCTATCAGATAAAACTGTCCAGAGTCTTCGCAAATTTGCGCTTCCCTAATAAATTTTGGTAGCGTTGGACTCTTGCTTCATATTCAATTTTTTTTCGAAATGAGATTTTAAACTGCACTGATTTCTTAAATACACGAACACCGAAGCAGCAGGAAAGCAACGGGTTTCCAATAATTTAATTTACAATAGAGAATCTTTGAATGCCCGGATTTTGGGTCTATTGTACCTGAATATATAATTCTCAGAATAAAACGCTTGGTTAGTTGTCCATCTACCTGCTTCGAACCTACAAAGTAGCATTATTAATTTTACATTGTTATTTATATCATATTTTATGTTCAACGATTTGTATTTGATCGAAACTAACAAAGCTTATAACTTTTCAGGGCCAACGTGGACCAGGTATGGAATAAAATATTATTGTTGGTCACCACTATATCCGAATAAATTTCGAGTACAACACGTATAATATATATTACTCAATATTTTCTTGATACCTACTATAACTAGACCATATAAATATTAACGGTGGGCAAACCGCGGCTCGCTTCTGCATTAATTATTATTCAAATTTAACTAAGAGGAACTACAGTAACATTTTTTTTAATTCATTGAGCGGTGTAAAATAAGAGGTTTTCATCAATAATTAAGTCAAATTATGTTTTCGTGTGAGAGTAGTTGTAGCGTGGAATTTCAAATTCAAATCAGTCAAGCGACAAATTTCAAGTCACAATGATTGAATGTGTTGGCGGTATGTAGTGATAGGATTCCCATACAATTTTTATCTCGGGGGAGAGGAATGCTAATATGACGTCTTAAAATCATATGACGAGCAGCGGCCTCTCGTCCTGTTACAAGTCTATGCCGGGTATGGGATTAGTTAGTCAGTTAATGGATCTCCGCTCCTAGGAGATCCTTATTATCAGTCGTTCTGTCTGTCTGTTTAGATGTAGCGTCTTAATGGCTGGACCAATCTGGATGAAATTTTTCACGTTGGTAATCCTGTCACTCTAGTAATGTGCGTTTTATAGAAAGTCCGGATAAATGTTTTGTTCCTATGGTAACAACGTAAAACGAGCCGATCGTTATGAAATTTCTATTTTTTTTCACCGTTTTCTCGCCAACCAAGTCGAAAATTAAAATTCCAAAAGCGCTACCTTCCGCATGGCGAAGTACTCTTTCCAATAAGTCGTCTTTGGTCTCGATACTCCATAAACTGGAAAAGCATCAGGTATTTTAGTGAACATTATTTTCCTTATTTTCAGTCACAGTATATCAGTCGCGCGAGTATGTCAACGGAACGCGCAGCGTTCAAAATAAACTCAACGGAACGGGCAGAGTTCATAATCAACTACCATTTTTGATAACCAGCTATTTTTCTTAATCGCATGGTAACCGGTTGCTTGAGTGCGGGACTGGTAACTGGTTATTGCATGTCGTTAGAGGACACTGTGGCACGCTGTCGTTAAAGGTCAGCAATTTTTCTTGGATGGTGAAAGATTGCTGGGGTGTAATTCGACATTATTCAGTAACTTCAAGAAGTTGCCCGTTAAAACATTTACGGAGAATTGCCAGTTCAGATCGCACATCAAGAATTTAGGGAGGATTGGATAAGAGCAGTGGTGGGATTCATCCGGTTTGCACCGGTTCTATAAAACCGTCTCACATAATTTTATGAGATCAGCAAACCGGTTGGCATTACTGGTTACTGTCAATGTTCTGTTTGTAACAAAACCGACTGAAAAATATGACTTTTGTGAAGGGACCCGCTGACAAGAAATTTGAATCCCACCACTGGATAGCAGCCGGTGCAGGTGTTCTTGATATACGGAAGTATTATTTGCTTGGGATTTGATGTACTTCTCGCTGTTAGTGGAGGGTTCACCTAAACGCTGGCTAACGAATTGGATCTTCGCGATATACTGTATGCCGCGAGCCTGGTTATCAGCGGAGATCCTGGACGCCTACCGACTTGTATATATATGTTTCAGATACATGTACTCGAAACCTATTTGTTTTCAGATGCATAACCAGAAATTTATGATATCATTTGCCAAGCCATCCGATGCAACAACTGAATAGTTTTGTTATTTCATGAAATACTCTTACTGTGATTTTGTTGGAGAAAAAATATTGCTGAAGTTGTCGCGGTTTCGTTTCCCAACAGCACGAAACGACTAATAGCCCAACGCCGATTTCCCGTTACACTACACGAGGGCGATTTAATGAGCTCTAGTATTAAAAATTTCAAAAATTATACGGTTCTCACATATTTCTGACTTGCTGCATGCGGCTCTTATACTAAAATATTTTGCCCACCCCTGCCATATATATTCAATTGTTTGATGGGAAAGTTCGGTTAGGCTTCCTGTCATTTCTAAGTAATTTTATAATATCAGGCATGGCATTCTGATATTTCGGACTTAAACCTGTATAATATTTGTTGCAGTGGTAACTGTAATAGCAGAAAACATCCAATCTGTGACCGTGGGCCATCACGCAGCGAATGACAAAAAGAATAATGAACAGAAATAAAGAACGCTTGATACTAGAGGTGCATGGAAACCACTGCACACCACCTCGGAGTTTCATTCTTTATATATATACAATTGCAGAAGCTTATTCAGATGGGCGTTTTGAAACATCACTGGATATAGTTCAAAATAGTCTCAGGAGTAGTATATAAATATATTATATATATATATAATAAATAATTTGCGTTGAATACCTTAACATTTGAATAATCTGTTAAACACTTCTAGTCGGTTGCTTATCTAATATAAGGACTGGGATAATGATGATAACCACTGAAAATTTGTCATTCAACGTGGGTTCAGATGTCTAATTTTTCACTTCAAATATTATTTTTTCATTTTCCTAAACCTAAGTGCTGCAGTGAACAACACGTTATGTCGGCTTATTGTCCATTACAATCTTCGTGTCGTAAACCAATCAAGTCTATCAAATCTGCTGTGCTCAAATATATGGACACGTAGAGCCACATAATTTTGATGACGTTATAGCGAAAAAAAGTAATAGCCTTCTGGAGAAAAATTCTATCTTTAACCACTGAACATTTCAAAGCAATTGGTCCAGTCATCAAAGAGAAAAGCGATTTCTTCAAAACGTGTCAAAGAACAACAAACAACAAGACTAAGAACAACATAACAACAAAACGATCACTATGTCCACTACGTGTCCAATAATGCTCACATAGTGTTAGTAGAACAAATATCCGGGGCTCCCGAAGTATGCGAACCAAGATGGCGGACATCGGAATGTAATATATATGTGTACTAGGTTCGGGTTAGGCCATAATTTTAGGTATAAATACTACGGGAGGCTCTTGGCTAGTCTTCGAACTGATAATAGGACTAAAATAAGGAAAACTGGAAAAAAATTATCGCCTAAGCCTAACCTGTTACCCATGTTACGCTCCGATGTCCGCCATCTTGGTTCGCATACTTCGGGAGCACCAAATATCCTTTACTATTTTATCACAAATTATTAATCTGTAATGGTTAGTATGTGTCTCTGATATTGTCCTCTTGTGATATGCATCAGAATGTTGCCAATCTGAGGAAAGAACGAATAATTTGTAGACGTATTTGTGTTCTTCACATTGCATATTGGAAGTGTTTGTCTGTTTTACAAGCTACTTTGTCTAGTTTTAAAATTCAAGTGTTGCATAATAAATAAGGCATTGATTGATTATGTTCCAATCAATTCATTCACAATTATTTTGTAGCACGCATTTTACTTGTTTTACTGCTATTATTCTATTTGATTTGTACGTTAACATTTTTTATGTGTAGCAATAGCAGGTGTAGAAAAATAAAAACATAGTTTCTTTCCCGATGCAAATTGTGGCAATTTCGTGCTCTTTAGTACTGGGATATTCCAATGTAAAAAGAAACATAAAAATGAGGAATTAATAACATAACAAAAAAATACCTCGAACCAGTTTTAACGGCGCCTGTTGTGTATTTTAAAACATGGAGAATACAGTTTTGTACATGCGCGAAATACGATATATACATACAGTATCTGAGTCTGGGCAAGTCCGATAGAGCATATTATTACGTAACAGTTGCAAGTTTCGCTGCCGACACGGTTTAGGAATGAACAAGCCGAATATCTTGTGTCCTTGTTGATAAACAACGCTACAATACCTTCTGCAGTATGCGGAAGTTATTATCTCACTCCAAGAGTAGTGTAATACATTTTATTCGCAATGGTAGCAGTGATATCGAATGACCAATTTTTTCTAATTCCAAGCGAGAGAAAATCAGACTTGGAGAAAATTGTAAATTAGATACTGAAGTTTTGTCAGTCACGAAACATTTATAGTTTAATCTTCTTGGAGCCTAAAAAAATTTATAAACGAGGCTGGCGAAATGACTTGCCGGGTTAGGTTTCACTGAAGAATACCTGCGCGAAGAGGTTGTGAATATCTCCAACAACAGCAACGATTTTGCTAAGTGATTTACATGGAAATTTCGTGTTCAATAATCTAGTAATTGAATGTCACATTGCTCAGTTTGTCCATCGCCTGTTTTAAGGTAGAAATAGTTTTGCTTAACGAGCATATTCCAATAATTTTTAATCCTAATATTTTACTGAAATTTATGAATCTTATTGTTTTCTTTAAGAGATCCTTGAATAGTTTTTGTTAGTATAAATGAAATATATTTTTGCAGTCAATCAGAAGAGCAAGAGAAATCATCAGAGGAATCTTGGACTTCAGGCAACAGGTTTGTTCATAACTTTTTCCTTGTGATTTTATAGCATATTCTATGTACTCACTCCTTCGCATGTGGAAGGTTACAGACAAAAACAAGAAACCTTGAAGAGTTGAGTATTTTTGTTGAAACAGATGATGCAACAGCCTTTTATTGTCGGAAAAAATTATTAATTCAAATTGTTCTCAGCTTTTCAAAATGGTTCGTTCAACAGATAACTGATAGTGTTTCACGCAGACAAGCTTTTGAGAAGGTTTTGAAGAATCCATCTGCAGAAGACAGAAAGAGAATAGAAGAATATATTTCTATAGAAATTCAAAGAATGCAGGGAGTCGGAGAGGTACAAAAACACAATAATATACGTGTGACGCTTATTTAATGTCTATGTGATAAAACTGTTTTCGCAAATTTTTGTTTTCCTAATTTGCCGGATTGGTATGCGTGTGGCCTTTTGTACCTAAATATATAATTCTCAGAATAAAAAGCTTGACTGGTTATCAATTTAGCTACATTGACCCTAGAAAGTCGCTTTATGAATTTTACTTGAGTTTTATATTGTTATGTGCGATATGTATTTCGTCGAAATTAACAAAGCTTATAACTTTTCAGGGACACGGTGGACCAGGTATGGGAAAAAATATTACTTGTTGGACACCACCATCTTCAAATAATTCTGGAGTACGACACGTGTAATTTATTATTTTACTGAATATTTTATTAATAACTTCTATACTTGACATATTCGAATTTATGATGGTATTCTGACCTAAACCTGTGTATTATTTGTTGCAGCGGTACCAGTGATACCAGAAATCCAATCCCTGACCGTGGGTCATCACGCAGCGGATGACGAAAAGAATAATGAATAAAGTACTTTCGATACTAGAGGTGCCCTTCACACTACCTCAAATTTCCTTCCGATTACATAAGCTTATTCATTAAGCATTCTAAAACATCAATGGGTACCATTCATCCTCAATAGCCTAATATATTAAATTAAATAAATAACATGCAAAAATCAAATATTTTGCACTGAAGAGAATGTGGCGCTTGTTTTTGCGAGCTGTCTGGTATTTTTGTTTGTTTATTACGTGCGGAGGACCATTGCTAGCTAGCTCGTTAAAAATACTTTTCGTTCAAGTAATAACAGATTCTTTGTATATTTCTAAGCTTTCGAATACTTATGCACATAAAACCTATCATATAGTAGAATAGAAAATATGGAAAAAAAAACAGGATGCGCTTACCGCGCTTACGAACACTCGAATCAAGCATGGATCATGGACACGACGCAAAAGTAATTCATTGCTTTTGTTTACAACAGACGTCCACGATAAGACTTATACGTACAACTCTTCAATACGATATCAACTCTTGCCAACCATTCAAATTAGAACCATATATAAATGCAACATAATTAGAATCCCGACTACATCTAGTTCACTTTCAGACGCATTGCTTATCCAATTATGACTGGGATAATGTTGGTCATCACTGAAAGTTTGTCATTCAACGTGGGCTTAGACGTCTAATTTTTTACCTCAAATATCTTCATATATATCATAAACCAATCAAGCCTATGAAATCTAATTTACTAATAACGCTCACATAGTGTTGGTAAAACAAATAGCCTTTACTATTTTAACACAAATTATTAATCTGTATTTGTTTTCAATCTCTTAGAATGGCTAGTATGCGTCTCTGATATTGTCCTTTTGTGATGTGCATCAGTATGTGGCCAATCTGAAAAAAAGAACAAATAATTTGTACTTGGCATATCGGAAGTGTTTGACTGTTCTACAAGCACTGGTTTTGAAATGCAAATGTTCCATAATACATATGACAGTGGTTGATTATGTTTCAATCAATTTACTCACAATTATTTTGTATATAGCATTTCACTTGTTTTACTGCCAATATTCTATTTGATTTGTATGTTAACATATTTATGTGTAGCAATAGCAGGTGTAGAAAAATAAAAACATAGTTTCGTTCCTGATGCACTTTCGTGTTCTTAAGTACAGGGATATTCCAATGTATCAAAAACGTTCCTGATGCACTTTCGTGTTCTTAAGTACAGGGATACTCCAATGTATCAGAAACACAAAAATCAGGAATATATAATTTCGGTTACCTTCATCAGTATTTGATACAACTATTGTTGCCATATTTTGCCTTGCTGTGATTTCTGATGTCTGGAACAAATTTAACATCATGGTTTAAGAGATTACTTAATTAAAACAAAAACATATCGAAAAAGGATGTTATAAGGGTCAAGGTTGGAAGTAAAACTATCTCATGCAAAAAAAATCTCTGGGCTATCATCCAAAGGAGGGCTCTATGTTCAGACGATGACGGCCTCATTGCCTCTCTTTTCATTGAGTTTTGATATCAATACAATACAATGGCATCAAAGTTACGCATGCTAACACGCTAGACTTGCCAAACTAAGTACTGTAATTTACATTAGAATAGTATTAGCATGAAGCAGCTCTCGAGGTGGAGATTTCCAGAAATTCAGTTCAAGTTTTGCAATAAATACAATTATCCCAGTTTTTTTTGCACTTTTAGTTAAGTAGGATAGAAAAAAGTGAAATTTATTTTTATTGAATCATAATAGACTTCCCATCACTTTCGAGCGAGTGGCATTTTGAGTATATTAGAGCAAGTTTAATACATGTTGAGTTGATCACAGGTTCACTGCTATAATATAAAAAATGTTTAAAGTCAAAATACTACTATATGTAAAAGCCTTAAACAAGCTTACTCAGTTGACAAATTAATTGCAGCAGTAAATATTATTGAAAGACAATCAGATTTAAAAAAAAAATTATAACTATCACTTTTAACATTGGCAAACCTCATTTGGTCCAGCATCGTTGATGACATCTATTCCCACAACATTGGCCACATCATTTCCATTGTTCGAAACATTGATTCGATCAGTCAGATCAGAATCATCCAACTGAAGTGTTAATTTATTTGACAGGGGCTGCAAAATGTCCTCATTTCTTTTCACGTCAATGCCCAAATGGTTTTCTTCAGTTGGTATGACTTCTACAATCCCAACATTATCTTCCGGGGATTCATTTTCAGTTTTTGTCACATTTTGATTATCCAAAGAAATTTCAATATTGCTATCTAACGTAGCTCCTTGAGTTTGAAGCATCTGTAATATGAATTATTTTTTCTAATAAACACACAGATGAAAAATAAAATAATTTATTAAATCAAAGTATTATTTTAGTTTCAGACTGGGATGGAGTGAGTGATATCAATAACATGAAAAATCATAAGGTATAAAAATAAAATTAGCTACCAGAATCACATATTATGAACATGTATGCTATATATAAACTAAAACACATGAAAAAAAATGAATTCCATTGCTAGAAAAAGAACGCAAACAGCTAACATAAATATAAAGTACTTTTATGATATTTAAAAATTCAAAAAACAGAAGACTATCAGCAAATTTGTGCTTTTAATGGGACGTAGCTCTAATCAATTCAGTCCATGGGTGCACCACTGAAAGGTAAATCTGTATGATACTTATTAGTCTTACACAATTTGATTTATGGTCTACTCACACTCCAAAGTTTATCAGTATCAAAAGCCTCTGATCCATTATTATTTGTCTTAATCAAGACATATCTTGAAGTTCCATTTCCATCAATCATTTCCACAGTTGTCCATTCCTCAGAGTTCAAGTTTGACTTGAAAAAATGAAATCAACAAAATTAAAAAGGCGACGTGTTATCGTAAGTTTTATCATACTCAGTTAGGCAGATATTAGGTTTTACTATTGAATAGAAACCCAACAATGCTAATAGATAAGAGTACCAACACCATAGAATTAAATCAACATAAAAGCACATAACTGCATTTTCCATATAAAGTCAAGGAATTAAGCAATGCATAATTTTCTGTAATATGGATTAAAATGGATGAAAACTAGATAAGCGAAAGTCTTGTACTTATAGATATTTGTTTAATTAGTTTTTTGTAAATTCTATCTGATTTCACTAAGTGGGATTTCCATACTGGTTCATGCTATAAGACTAGTAACTGGAAAGTTTCATCAACAAAAATATAGATAACAGCAAAATTTCTGTCCAGTGGATAAAACCCTCACCAAAACTACAGAAGTAAGCTTTATTAATCTTTGTTTTTTTGATCAAACGGCTGTTTGTCAAAATTTGTAGACAAAATGCAAAGAAAAAGCAAGAATCCAAGGAAGAATGTGGAAAGGCAACCTAGGTGATATGCACAAAAGGGAAATAAATCAGTTTTTATACTTTTCCAGGTCCTTCAACCATCACTGTTGTTTTTGGCGAAGAATCATTTGTAGAAGCTGCATTTACAGAAGTTTGATTCAATGTATTCAAAACTGCTGTCCAATCGCCATCAGTCTCAACTTTGTTTGTTTCATCGGCTGATGTTTGTTTTTCAGAATTATCTAGAATATCAGACCCTACAGAAAGTAATATCTCTGCTGCTGTTTTGCTCTAAAAAAAGACATATTAATTGAAATCTTGTTTGAAATGAAAATATTTTAGTTAAGTTAAACCAAGTATATCAGTAGCACATACACACTCCAATCCATTTTTTGTGCAGTCAGTGAATGGCTATGTATGGAGATACTTTTGGAGGGAGAGACTAACCCCTATAGTGCAGAAGATTAATTTGGCATAGAGCAACCAGGAGTATTTTTGGCATATAAATTTTTGATTTTTTTAATATGGTGAGACATAAAAAGAATCAGAATTCGCAAAAATTCTCATACAAATAGAAGCATTCTGATTGTATTTGCCTTTATTTGTTGAATACCTGGGATTCTTTTACAATATTTTCTGCATGATCCTGTTTCACTGTTACATTGGTCTGAATTTTACTTGCAGTGTCTGGTGTTTCATCACTATCTTGTATTATTTGCTACGAAGAATAAAGTTGATCAGATTGAAAAAAACATATATAAATATATTTCTGTAACCACTATATCCACAGAATTTAGCATAATAATAAATGCTATAGCCTGAAACTAAAACTATATTTTCAAAGTAAAAAATATATCACTAAAGTCAAGCTTGAGTTTCCAAATGATCAGGACGGCCAAAACCAAAACCAAGTACCTATTGTCACTGTATGAATATTAAATAAGGCATGGTCAACAGAGAAATTAGCACAAATCACCGAAATGATCATTGAGATTGATTTTTATGCTGCACAAATGATAGTATAAATAAAATTGAGTAGTTAAATATGTCTCAACTAGGCTGAACATCATTTACCAATCGTGCATAATCATGAATTTCTTAATGAAAATATTTCAAATTATTCCTTAAATCAAAAAAAAACTATATCGAACTTAACTAATTTTCAGTATATTTGAATAATCAATTTATTTTATACATCCCTGGACTTTGGGCAAGTCAATGTTAGCTGTTATTGCAACCCACTTATGGCATAAAATTTATGGTTTCAAAATATTGAACCTATGAAAGCCTACATTATGAAATTTCTCACCATCAAAAAACTGCAAGTCATTAAAATAATATCCAAGAAAAATCCTCTTGTTTGAAAATTATGGCTCGAAAGAAAGTCAGCATGAGGTGTCAGTACTTTGAAGATTTGCTGAATCTACAAGAAATTTATTTTGACCTAATATGCATTGATACAATCGATAGAAAAATAATTTGTAAATCTAAATTCAACTATCACTACCGATACTTCTTGTACTTGAATACAACATGGATTCTTATGGCATTTAGGAACTGAAATAAATATTATATTACCGTAAAAAGCATTTTGTGCATTCACTATGAACAATAAAATTTGGATTTGAATGCTCTGTTAAACTACTTTACTGACACAATTTTATCACTACACAAAAAATAAAATTTTATCTCATAAATCATAATCTTATCCAATAGAGATAAAAGGAAGCTTCTGAAATATGCATACCAAGATGGCGGCCACTGGAATGTAGTATGTGTACCAGGTTAGTGTTAGACCATAATTATAGGTACAAATACTATGGGAGTCACTTGGCTTGTCCCGAAACTTGTAGTTGTAATAGAACTAAAATAAGGAAAATTGGAATAAAATGATGGCCTAAACCTCACCTGTGGTACACATACTATGTTCAGGTGTCCGCCATCTTGATACGCATACTTCAGGAGTATCGATAAAAGAGTGACTTATTTTAACATATTTAGAGATTCTTATTATACAATATTTCACCTGTTCTAGTACTTCAACTGTTGCTTGTAACTTTTCAGGTTGATTAGAGAATGCATTCATCAAATAATCTCGTACTTGAACATCAATTCTTGATGGGAATGTTTCAGCTTTTAGAAACTGAAATTTAAAAAATCTAGAATGATAATTGTAATTTTAAAAAAATATGTAACTGGGAAAACAGCAGGATACTAGAAAAAGAAACTCAATACAGAAGAAGACTATTTCTCGAATCATATCACATAAACAAAGAGAAGAATTCGATGAATGACAAAGAAACCTTGCTGTTCCCGCATGTGTATAAATCATTGTTTAAATAGTCAGTCCCCTTTTTGTTTGAACTTGCGCTAATTTGTTTCTATATATTATCTTATCATCATCCTTTTAGATTAGAGTTTACAACATGATAATTTTTTCACATTTTTTTCTTTTTCCTGCTCTATATATATCCACTTGTGTCCTTTCCTTATCATGCCCCAATGTAGTTTTTCTGTATAGAAATTCGAAACGGCGCCAAATTACATAGTTTTGCTAACACAGGTTGTGCTTTATTCATTATCAACATGAGTTCACCTGCTGGCAACCATGCATTAAGAAGGTAACACGTTGGATAACGTTTCTCAACTTGAGTTAGAGTGAAGGCAATTTTCGTCCCACTTTATGAGAATTCCAATAGCAATCTAAATTTATAGCTTGAAAAAACCTGTAATTCTTCATGTGTCATAGTTGCAAACATTGTTTTTGCGCAGTTGGATTTTTGACGATGTGTTTTATAATGTTCTTCAATGACTGGCAGTCTTGAATCGCCTCGGAATAAATCTATTAGCAACTGAAAAAAGACAATCATTTTATAATTACTTTAAATATATCTAATAATTAAATAACAAATTGCACTAAAATAAAGAAATGTCCACTAGATACAATAAATAACACAAACCTTTCCAATTCCATCTTTATGATTTTTAACGCCTAATTTTGTAGAAAGTCCATCGGCTCTTAGTCCTCGCACTACAACATCATCAAATAATTCCTCTTTACTTATATGTAGTTTACGGGATGTGTAATTTCTTCCCCCTCTTACTTGAATACGGGTACCTATATAAAGAATTTCAGCATTAAGCTTTGGTAAGAGCCGTATACTATAAACCAGGGGTTCTCAAACTTTTGGTGTTGCGGAGCCCATGAGAAGGTTGACTATTATTCACGGAGCCCCAAAATAAATGTTGAAATTGTTACTTTCAGATTAATATTCCTGAGCAAGTTAAAAGTACTTTACTCAATTTAAATGCGGAACCTTTTTAATAGGGTTAATACAAGTCATAAATAAATCTAAATTTCAAACATAAATTATATAAACTAAAACTGTAAATTTGACATTTGACAAACATACTAATAAATTAGGGGTCGAATCTTTTCCCTTTTGACATTTTTGGAAGACTTAAAAGGCGCTAATAATGTGCGCGATTGCATTTTGTTACAATCGCCGATTTTTCCCCCTCAGCATGACGTGTTTTTGAACCTTTAAACATCTTTACGCCGGTGTTTATTCTCCCTAAATCAAAAATTTCATTCGGCATATACTTGTACTGTAACACAATGACGACGTTAATTAGGCTTCCCGCTGCTTGTCAGCAGGGAACCTATTGTATTCCTGTGTTTTATTATTATTATTATTTATTTATTATTATTATTTTTTCAAATTGGTCCTACAAACTTGAAATTCACCTCAAATGTGCAGAAGTTCTCAGCTAGCAATAAAATGCAAATTTTTTTTTTACGCGGGAAGCCTGTTAAAGCTGCACGCAGCTCTAGTTGCTTTTTTGTTCTCGTGGGTAATTTTGAGTTCAATGTGAAAAACATGTTACCATATTATAGTCATCGGCGGCGAAATGCTAAAAATAATAATTAATAAAGAGGTAATTCCGCAACTCAAATTTATTGATTGAAAAGCGGCATTCTAAAATAATAAAACTAAAACTTAAAATGGGAGATCACACGTTTGATTTTAGCGGACTCACCTAGGATTGAAAACGCTTTTATAGACATTGTGAATCACAAAATTTGGTGTTATGTTAGGTTTTCATCGTAGTAACTGCGAAATCGAAACGCCATCAATTGTGCGCGCGATCCGCGATGTACCCTTTTTTCATTCTGAAACTACCGACGGAGCCGAATGCAATTCGTGTTTTGCCCAGACATTGTGATATTTTAAACGGCGATATCTTGCTGAAAAATAATCTCAAATGCGAAAGAACAAATCAAGTTTGACAAATCCCAAGATCGCAAAAATATGACTCCAATTTATTTATAGTTGGCAGTTTATCACATATTTTATGTTATCTTAGAATAGTATTCTTTCATTTTAGTAATCCTAATAGTAATCTCGAATCAAACGTGAGTAACGATGAGCACAATTACATTATAACGACGAGACACGTTGAATGCTCGCATCGGTCATGGATTGAATATTTTACGCAACAGAAATCTCGTTATACGTTTTTTTAATCGCGAAGAATCTTGCGCGGAAATTTCCGATTCCAATTTTGAACCACCTCCCCCTTAAGAATCCTGGCTGCGCTTGTGCTTATAAATGATGTCATTTTTTTAATTCCGCCTCTTTGCCATATTTCGAGGCTATACTGTTGTCAGATTTTATCAAAGCTGTTATTGCTTCTTCGAACAGTTACAAAATTAGTCAGTATTTTGAAAAGTAATCGAATAGCTCGCGGAGCCCCTGGGTTTCTCTCGCGGAGCCCTGGGGCTCCGTACGGAGCACTTTGAGAACCTATGCTATAAACCATTGCAAGCGCAACAAACGATAGGAATATTTGTTAGCGTAAAACAGTTTTGAAGGGGGTTTTCTAATGCATTATGATGATGATGAATTGACGAAAGCAGGGTAGTGGAGTCGAGTAATCACAACACCCAACCACAACTCTAAGCTACAAGCCATTTGAAAAATGACTCTGAAATAATTGACTTCAACACCGGCTCACAACTCCAGGTTGAAGGATATTTTGACTCCACCTCCAGCTCCGTAAAATTATATCTAGATTCTAGATAACAAAAACTTTGCAGTTTTTCATCTTCAATTGTCTGTTGGGAATGCTTTGTTAACTTTTGGAGTATCAATTGGAAGTTTTTACTTCGATAACAACCTTTGGAAGTATAAATTATACTATAATTTTCTATTTATCAAAGATATATATTGATGAATATAATACAAACCTCAACTTGATATTCCTGACAAGAAGAATAAAATAAATTGTTTTGATTTTCAAACAGAGAAGGTGGAAATAGTCGAATGAAAAAGGATTCTGATTAGGTTTTTTCTTTTTAATTATATGATAGTATGATAGTGGACCAAAAAAAACTTTAACTTGGCACCTGTTTCATCGATTCTTGTTCCTCGAGGTCTTTGACTCGCAAGTCTTTGTTGAATGTTTGATGAGGACTTTTGTGACTCAATAATATCGTTTTCAATCACAATATTCATTGCTGGATTATCGGAAACAGCCTGAAAACATATTATATTTTCATAAAAAAAGAACTGTTGTAATTACTGGGTAATTGTAATAAACCTAATTTGAATAATGAATTTCCAATATCAAAGTATTTGTTGTTTTGAATATCAATCATTAAATTTTCTTAAAACTAATCTACCTGATAGTAAGGATTTTGAACAAGTCTATATTGGCTCTTCATACTCTGGTCTTCCATTGTATATCTTCAAACTCAACAGCGGATTAACCTATGAAAATACTATTTAGAAAAGTAAGATAAAAAAATATGTTAATTTCATTAAAAGATATATTACTAGATGTCGCAGCGCAGACAACAGCATGGCGAAATATAATACAGTTAGATGGCAATAATGCTGTGAAGCATGGGCTTGACGGAGCATTCCATTATCTTAGAACAATTCAAGATGATAATTTATATTCATACCTATTTCAATTAGTTGAGGTTTTGAAATCTATAGAAAATTGGACTGACAATAAACTGCAAAACATATCAAATCAATGCAATTTATAGTATTTTTGATTCTCAGATATTCTCCAACCAAATAATAAATAAAGTTGAAAAACAGAAAAATAATAATGTCTCAACATCTGATTAACATACTGCTGAGATAGGTGCACCAAACATTATAAAATTAAGCTTACTATATATAAGAAAATAAGATAACTACAATACTCCAATATAAAATATAAGTTAATAATAAATCATGATGCTGAAGAGCATATTTGATATGAAGCAGTTGTATCTTCAACATTGGGTATACACAGTTAGACAGTGATTAGCATGTTTATGATTATCACACTTCCATTTTAGGGTCTGAAGCTTTACCGATTTTCTGAAGTTTCATTTCTTGCTTCATGTTCGGTTTTTCCGTTCTAGTATGCCATACTAATATTTTTGAGCAGTCTTTGGGTTCCAATTTTTCTCTTGTAACGATTTTAGACAAAAAATGTGATTCTTGATATCCTCTAGGAACTTCATTAGAAAAAACTGCTTCTGGGTGTTCAAGAACTAGTTCAATATTCGTGGCAAAACCTGCCATATCAATAGGATAGGGTCTCTCTGGTTTCCAAGCTGTATAAAAAGACATCACTTTACCATTTTTACATAATGGACCTTCAAATTTCAACCCACCCACTAAACCTACAGGCCAAACTGAAACAGTTTTCGTGAATCTCATTTCTTCGAAAATCCGCAATGAATATGTATTGTCATCATCAACAAAATACAGAACACCAGGTGTCCCCAGTTTAACATTCTTGCGAATCCATTTAAGTCCCTCATTCCTTTGTGCCACACCTCGAGGCATTAGCCAACTTGGATCGGATGATTTCAATTTGAAATTGCTGTCTGTTTTTGCATTCACATGAGCATAAGGTAATCCACAATTTCTGAGAAACCTTGCAACTAGATCAGTTTTTGCTTCTGAGTCTTCTACAATAATCCAGAAAAAATTTGGAACATGAAGAAAAGTGTGGCATAACCTCGTTAATTCTGCCTTTTGTGTCCACCTTGTGTATGTTGGCGTTATTGCATAAATGGTTGGTAATCCAGCACTGAAATAGGTTGATATCAAGTCAATGTCATCTGGATATTTCAAACTTAATGTCCGCTTCACAGAATTGATTAAAAAATCTGAATTTTTATATTTATTACTTGTTTTTTCAGATGTGAATCCAGGTTCACATTTTAAGTTTTCCTTTGAATGGAATGGTGTCATAACCCACATTAGAAATACAAATGATGTCCAAACTAAATTTGAGACCAAAAGAAATTTAAGGCCAAAAAAGCTTCTCATTGTACCAATATAGTGATGAGCTTATGCTGTTTTGGCTGTAAATTGTCAAGATAGAAAGATTTTATTTCATTCATTCGCAAAAATAAAACAATGCACAGAAAAGATAAAGACCAAGAATATGGGATGAAGAATTAGGTTTATTTCGTTGTATATTTAAGTTACAACTGCTGAACTGCGTAAGCTTTCTTAATAGGATGAAAAAGATAACTGAATAACAATTAATCAAGCTATAAACTAACTCTAATTCATGTCAAAGCTTGCATAAATATAGCTATGATCGTCCGTAATGCTGTAATGGCAGAATGGTGTCTGCATCAATGATAGTGAACTCACTAATGCGGTAATGCCCAGTGATCTCTCTCGTATCTGGATCGTTACGATGAGACTTTGTTCACGTCGTAGCTGCTAAATTTCGCCTGGTATGTGTCGTTAAAGTGATATAACAAAGTTTTCTCAATCTCCGCAACAAGTCATCCAAGTTTTGGATAATGAATATAAGCAAAAAAAACTAAATTTACCAGGGAAATTCCATAACATATACTTTTCGTTATAGCAACCTTTCGCTACAGCCATTGCAACAATCGCCGGCCAAATCAGCCCTGTTTAGTACACTCGATGAAATAAAAACCTACTTACCAGATTTAAAAAAAAAACAGTGAAATAATACCGTTTCAAATTTGAAAATTCCTATATAACCTGAGATAGAACCCGGCCCCCAAAAAAAGAATTAAATGTACAAATTGATGAAGTAATTTTATTCAGTTCAATATGAACGCATAATTCTAAGTTAAACCATAGACAATGAGAAAATGAAGATAAAATGTCTGGCAGCTACTTCCGACATTCGGTCACGTGTTAATTTATTGCTGCCGCCGTTGGCCGGCACCTTTCGTGTAGTTCGCTTCTTGTGTTCCTGCTGCAGGTGCTTGGTTTGGCGAGGTTCCACCATCGATTTGGCTATTGCCAACTCCAAAAAATTCGAAATCCCTAATTGAGCTCCGACTCCAGGCACAGTTTCAGACTGCACTGTTTCCCAGTATGCCGAAACATACGACACTGCTGGGCGAATGCACCGTCTTATGCGCCAGGGATACTCACCATCGCGCCGATGAACATGTAGCAATTGTTAATTGCACTGCTTTTAGTTAATCATTGAACCTACAGTTTGACAAATGCAGAATATCAAGAAATATATTCTACAGATATACGAGTTGGACGACTCGGGTTGATCGGATGCGAGCGGATTGCCGCACTCGTCGTTGGGTGGTTCGGCTGATCAGTTATAGCTAGAGAGAGAGAGAGATTTATTCATTCGTCAACCATTAACCAAAATAAAACAACTGTCATCGTAATAATAACAAGTAATGAATTAGTTTGGTATAGACAGGAGGGAGAGATACGACCGGACGGTCATCAAAGTCAACTCCCCCCTTCGCGCTATTATGTTTAAGATTTACAATTTCAGTAAATATTAAGGTTGAACATTCTATAGTTTAAAATTATATTCACAAAATGGAAGAATAAAATTGGAGATTTCCCGGCACTTGCCACGCGTAACGGGGTATAAAAGAAATTGGCTGACGAGGGGCCGTGGTACCGCATATGGCTAAATCACATTAATGTTTTTCCTCTCTTCGGAATTATTATTGGGCCAAAAAGTTAATTCTTATCATACAACGGACATGTTGGATCACGTGGTTGAAATAACCGACTGAATGTTAACGAAGTAACAAGTCATCTCACTCCTAAAATATGGGCTATACTATACAGAGAATGCAAAAAATATTATTTAAATAATTCAATTTATTTTCGTGCAACCAAGTCACGCTTAGGTCCGGTTTTGGGAAGTCGTAGCATGGCTTCATTGCTAGATGCAACAGTTTCTTTCATTTTTAACTCCACTGCTGCACTTTGAACGCTGTGTAATAGAGTCTGAGATGTATCCATTATTCGTGTATAGGCTGCCTGAGCTTCAGCTATCGTGCGATCGAACTCATTTCTTGATGACATTCTCTGAGCAATCTCTTCATTCAATTTCGCTAGCCTAGTAGTAAAGCACATTTAGTTATTATTATTTTGGTATGTTAATTCATATATGCATTGTGAAATAGGTATCAGTGACAACGAAGAGTGAATACTAGTTGCTCAGAGTACCTACCAGTAAATATTTGAATACAAGCAGTCCAGATTTTTGTATCTAACGAATTAGGAACAAAAGCACGGAAAGATTACAGTCTTTCTAAAATAATATCATTTTGAAAGCTAGTTGGAAAGATTAAATATTTCTCGGCTGCCCAATAAGCGCAGTTTTTTAAGATGAAAAAGGCTAACCTGTCTGTTAAAATTCGAATATCATTATGAAGTCTGGCTTTTTCTTCGTTATCTTCTTCTATTTGGCGATTCAAATCGTCCCGTTTGTTACAGAGATCGTCAATGCATTTTATCATTTCATTATTATAAACTTGAAGAGTTGCACCTCCAGATTCTTGCCTCGGAGTCATGCCTGACATAGCCACAATTGGTGATGACGTGTGCGGATAATATACAAATATTGTTGTAGTTCACACCAACTCTATTGTATTTTTATTTCGATAGAATTCTAATTTAAATATATAATAAACAGTGTTATTTGTTATGGAATCTGTAGTTGGATTACTTTTAGCTAGTGCATTCTTTAGGAACCGGGTTTTCATATGAGCTAAACAGATCTTCGGTTTTTAAAAATATGTACGTATATATGTCAAATCTTATTCGCGATGAAGTATGCAATGATATAATGATTTTTCAAAAGACAACTCAAAAATACACACAGTACTGTGGGGGGACAATGTTAGATTAAAAAAACATGTCGAGACTTCTCAAATCTCCAGTTTGTCGGTCATCTACTAACATCACCAAAAAGTCGACATATATATAAATAAATCGCATTGGTCCAGTACCATCTATACCTGCACGAATAAAAAATCGAATCAGTTATCTCATCCCACTAACAAATCGATACTTAAATAGATACATTTGTAGCGTACTATTACGTCATTCTTTATTGTGTAGTCTTTTGTTTGGTTTCTTTCACCCATGTTTATTGTTACGGGTACATGACAACTGAGTTACAATCTTTACACAAGCTGATCTCAGAGCGACATTGTTTAAGAGCATAAACGCCCATAAAATCGTTGCTAACGATTCCGATCTATCTGATAAAGATTACACAAGAAAAGCTGTAGTAAGCCTGGCCAAGTTATATAAACCCTTTCCACTAAAATCAAGACGCAGGCTACATAACCTGATATCCATATGTATATAACCTGACCTTTTTTATAGCATTTATATTTTGTCTTCGGTATATATCACCACAATATTTCTTCGAATTCGTCGAAGAATACTCGTGACAAGATGTCATACACTCTGGTTGTTTACTCTAGTTCCAGGAAATATCTAAGTACAATCCGGAGTACAACTGTACCAGTAACACGACTGAAATCAAATGGCAAAATGTAGCCTATTATATATATTTATAGATATTGAAATATAAAAATTCCCGATGTCTTCTACGACAAAACCTAGAGACCAAGCTAATATCTCCGAGTAATAATTTATATTACTGCACAAAAGGCAAATTAAAAACGGAAACTTTATAAAGATTCACTTTTAACAGACAGCAGAAAAACAACATACATCGAATACTGTTGTTACTTACCAATTGAATCGCATAAAGCTCTTTGTTTGGGAATTTAGCTATTTAATAAAAATATAATCTAGTTAATTAGTCGGTAGCAACAAAAGTCGTTTCCAACCAAAACTGTAAAATTGCTAATTTTTATTGCTTACACCAGTGGTCGGCAAACCTTGGTACTTGCGGGGCAAATATACACAGTTTCTGTTGCTTCTCACATTCCGAACGTGCACATGCACGTTTTGCACTGTCGCACAGATGAGCAGTGGTCTAGCCCCGGGTATCGCGTCGAATTTCGTATTTGCAATGACATTTAACATTAAATCTCTTTTAAGAACAGCGATGCTGACTTGTCATATCAAGCAAACTGGTTTGAAAATACGCAAGAAAAATATTTTTCCGTCCAAGCACTTTGGAATGTTAGACCCTCGCCGCAAACTTCATTCTGTTTCCCAGACATTTTTTAAAAATCAAAATAAACTGAACTTATTATTGGACGTTCATCAAGTAAACGACATACAACTAACTTACAAAAAAGCGTCGTACAGCAGCACTTGTTACCACATAAATCTGTTAAATTTAGGATCAATCTTTGTTTTATGCATTAAAAGTGGGGTCGTACGAGGGCACAAAAAATTAGTTTGTGGGCCGCAATTTGTCGACCCCTGGTTTACACTGTCATATGCAAGCCACGCCTGCATCCACTTGATGGAATCATGCATGGAGGAAGGCATAACCGACCAGCGTTGACAGGTATAATTTAATATTAAAAATTTGCACTCATAAATTATTTAAAGTTGGCGACTTTGGTTAAGATCCTACATCTCCCCTACACCAGGTAAAAGATTCAGATGCAACAAGTTTTAGCATAATGAAATTTACTTTAATATTTTCAATTGAACAAGTAATGAAAATGTAATTTGCAATGTGACGATAATATTGCACAATAATTTAAAACATAGGATTTCTCTTCACATATTTTGCTCCCAGACTGCATCAGCAAGCCCCAGACAAAACATTTATCTTGGGAAAACAAACTCAGTACTTCTATTCTATTCCCATTTTATAATAGAAATTTATAATTATTTATAAGAAAACTTGTAACAAAGGGTTGGACCAGCATAAGACCATGGAACATATTATTTGATATAAAGAAGTATTAATATATACTGGTAGCAGCAGCAGAACAGCCCCACTGTGCGACAGCATCTAGATTTGCATCACAATTAGCAAAATCTCAAAAGAAAAAATAAAGTATCAAAGCATTCAAATCCATTTTATAATTCATACACGAATATTTATCAATAATTGTCTATTTGTTGGCAATTTTTATTAAGAATCACTGATATCAATCCCACATTCGTAAACTTAGGATGCTGAGTTTTCAACATTATAAATAGGCTCGAAGAAAACTGACGAGTCCATACAGACAAAGAGTAGAAATACTGAAATACACTCAATCCATACAAAATACAACCGCTTATGGTATAACATTAGAAGAACACTTTTTATCAATATCACATTGTCATGATGTCTGTTGCGGAACAACTGTTCGATCTTTGCAGCAAAAATAATGAACAACAACACCATTCGGATATCTGGCGAATGCACTGAAAAAGGAACAAAGTCCAAGCTAGCTCAAATTTTATTCAATATTCAAGGAATGACACAAGGGCAAATTAGCAAAGGGTATACCAAGAATCTGTACATGTATTGAGTATATATCAGAGGCAGGTTGCAGTCCAGTGCCATATTTGAAAGGCTATATAATATGACAGCACAGCATACAATAGTACACAAGTTGAGACGAATGTTTCTAATGATTATTGAGTAAATAGACATTTGGTCTCTGTTTAGGCAACACTCTGAAACACAGATTTTCTTGACACATTTCATTGAATAGTTTCTTACCTGTCTCCAATTCTTTTTTTACAAACCCTGCATAGTTTTTCATCAGAAATAACACACTTTTTACTTTCATGATACATTCGTTGCTCATGAACCTGTCAGAAACAAACGATTTTTCAATAAAATCACAGCATTATCTTAAGTTCATGTTTTTTTTTAATAAGCCCTAAATAGCATTCAAGCTACTTGCCACAAAAATGATGCATCATCCTGAGGGCATCCAAGTAATGCCATCGAATATGTATAAACTCAATAAGAAAATTCAGGTGTAGGCAATGTCATGGTTGTCAATACAGTATTTGAATTTTGTTTCAAGCAAATATTCAGAATTTAGAAACTCCTCACTTGGTAATTCTCTGACAACATCAAACTTTCCAAAACTTGAGCTTCTCTATGTCTTTCATTGAGTTTCTCCAGAACATTTTCCAGAAAATTCTTTATTTGTCGAATGTCAGTATCATTAGGTAAAAGGTTTAAAGCCTGCAAAAAAGATAGAATCATTCACGATCTGTATTGAGATTTTTGAGCATTGTTTGAAACAAGCTAATGAGGTATGTGAAGTTCATATTAAAATACAAATACTCTTTCACAATTAAATGTTCTATATTTTTTTGTTATGTGGAAAAATTATTATTACACTTGGGGTGTCTCAAAAATGTTGTGTCTCACTTGTCCCTTTTGTCCCACTTAGACAACTATTTTATCTTGTCAGTTCCTTACAATGCAGATGATATACAAATATATAAATGGAATATCAGTATCAGAATACCAGTAATATCAGCATTTTGAAATATCGACATTTCAATATCATATTGGTATATCTTAATGCATGTATCGCCATTCAAATTTTTGAATTTAAAATTTTTTTTATAAATAGTAATTACAATACTTTAATACAATCAGGTGTAGTACACCTATACGTCAATTTTCACAACCTTGGAACAAGTAGGACATGTGGTGCATGTGGGACGCAACATTTTCAAGACACCATTACACTTGTATCAAAAGATATTTCACATCAAATATATTTTTACAAACACACATTTTAATCTATTCAAAATCCATGCACATCCTCCGCAAGAGCCAAATTCAGTTGAAAAAAACTATTAAATTGTATCTTCAAGCAGTTAACAATGTGAAATATCCCAACTTTGGAATACACCAATCATACCTGAACACAGTCAATTTTATTGGAATGTTGTTCTAAAACACGAAATGCAGCCTTCATATCAGGTTTCACAGAATCATCTCCATCATAAGCCTCATCTTCAATATGAGGATTGAGGTACATTTTCAAAAGACACAAGAACACCTGAAATAAAACACCTTATTTAGGCTTAATTAACTGCTATTGCAACATATATGTATGTTCTAACTGTTCTGATTCATTTCTACCAATTTACAAAAGCACTGCTACAAAACATATTGAAATGATAAATTTGAAAAGAAAAATTTTGAGCGCTCCAGAAGTGTGTGTCTCAATATGGAAGTAACTAATTTTGTTCACCTACTTTATATCAAGTTGTGTAAAGGAACCTATGGGCAGGGAGTATATTCACTTGGCTAACACAAACTATCTATCACCGAACTCTTAATAGAACTAAAATAAGGAAAATCGAAATAAAATTAAGGCCTAACCCTAACATGGTACACAGACTACGGGAGTACCAAAATTTGCATGTCTTGGTAATTATCGGAAGAATCATAAGAGACAAAGTTTGATGAATCTTCAAGTAGCATGCATGAGTCAGCTCAAATATTTTCAAATCAGAATATGCAGACATTGGCAACTTACATCTTTATTCATAATTTTGTTGAGTTCATAAACTTTATGGCAATATTCTTCAGCACGTGATGGATCTCGTAATGTTTGAGCATATATTGCTAATGCTTGTTCATGCCATCCCATTCTTCCAAGTATTATTGCTTTTTCTTCCACTAAAACTGGAAAAACAAATAATACTAAATAGGCTACATACAAAATTGTAACTTTCAGGTGTCAAGTTGTCCAGGAAATTGTTTGCTTACCATCAATCAATGCAAATATAGAAATTTAATGACAAGTTTGAACACTCAAATATATTGTGTCATTTGACTTTTTATTGAAGCAAAATTATTATATAATTTTTTAACTTTTTCGAAACGGCTAAATTGCCAGTAACTGCAATGAATTCAAACTTTGCCAAAATATGTTAACTTTGAGCAAATCAATTAAAAATAAAATTGAATGCAATAAATTTTAGTTCAAATGATCATTTTTACATCTCTGATCCAAACAACTACAAGATTTTTTTAAACATAGTCATAGCAGTAATTTAAGCTTCACCTTCGCTTTTAAAATGCTCGATCAATCTTTCTGCTTGATAGCTAGTAGAAGATTCAAGTAACGAAAGTAACTTTTTCCTCATCTCCCTTAGTTCTGGTGGCCCACTATTCATTGAATATTTGTCAACTGTTTTTAACAATAAGTTTGTATTATTAATAAGATCAGAGTTGTCTATGTCTAATTATGAATATCATTTTTTATTATGTTGAACGTTATAGTTTACTATATATAAGGAAGATTTTGAAACCAATAAATGGAATTCAAAATGATATTGAAGATTTCATATCACCTATTCTTAAAATGTCCACTATATGTGCTTGATAGGTCTTTCTGTGAAAAATGTGATTGTTAATTGGTTATGCGTAATAAATCCTTCTGTTACTAACACTAACAGCAAAAAGCACTGATTCGATGAAATTTGAAAAGCAAATAATGAAATGGAAATCTCTAAATTAGTGTAATGGATCCACGGCTGAATGTGACAAGTCATATGCCTCCCACTGTGCACATTAAAAAGTTAATATTTATAAGACATATATATTCTGCATAAGCAGGTTGGTGAATTGATACAGAAATTTTCATATTATATAGATACATCTCACATAATCAAATTCGAAGTCAAAAAATGGCATTATTTTTCATTTATAATGTGAGAGTAGAATAAATAAAATAAGGAATAACTCCGGTAAACTTTCTACCTTCAGGAAGTTCATGTTGATGAAGAGCTAACAAATTTTGTACTTTTGTTTTGTATGCAATAACCAAGTTATTGTGAAATTCAGGTGTTTTATCCTCTGCATTGAATATAACATGCTCCTGAAAAAAACAGAAATGTTATGAATTTTGCAAATAGTATTGAGTTTAGCCCAATAGTGATATCACAATAAAAGACAAAATATTTCAATGTCATGAACAGTTATCAAAAGGACAGGGTAACAATTACGGTAGAAGCTGAGGTCTACAATACAATCGCCAGATATTATAATTCATCTACATGCTTATCCATCCTAATTCATTTATAAATGCATAAAATCAAACAAATCTTATCTCAATCTTTTCAGGTAATTCGTTAGAATGAGTCAGAAAAAATTATCAAAATTTTCTGAAAAATGTTCATTTGTACATTGTTTCAACAAATAGTGAAAATATATATTTTGGTGAGAGCATTAAATAAAAACTTTGCTTATTCATAATATGAATCTACTTTCCTATATAACATAAGCATATCTGTAATTTACTGAATAGTATAGTATATTGCTTTATGTTTTATCTAGGTACAGCGACATTAAACAGATGAGAGCTCACAGTCTGGAACAACATCTGATATTATGATATTAGTAAAAATTCTTACAAGATATTTGATTGCTAAATCATCTGATTGCGATTCCAAAAATTCATAAACTTGTTTTCTTGGCAAACTTTCAACTTCTGTGATGTCATCAGTAAAAATCTAAAAATGGAAAGTTTGGATCTAACTCAAGAAGAGACACTGAGACACATTTGAGGAAATGTACACGATCAAATCATTTCTAGTTGCTAACTTGCTATTTTGAGCATAAAACAATTTTCTTAAGTTTAGTTTCTTCTTGTATTAAATCAAAAATAGTGAATGTAAAAAATCACATTGTTGTCATAAACTCAAATGAAAAAACGCTTTTATCATAAAATTCAATAAATACACTGAATTGCTGATTCAAGCCGGAGTTAAATTTTAGTGAACAGCACATTAATCAAGGCTACATTTAACTGGTGTTGGAGTCGAGTAGATTCATTGCACTCACACTCGCAAGTCAGGTGTCGCTGTTGTTCAGAGTCCAAGTCATAAATATCATAAACAGCATTGAAATAAATGAATATATGCTACACTGGCCCAAACACTTCGATCTTGCGTTGACCAAATTTTAAATTCAAAGGATTTGATTATGTCATCTCAGTTTATTAGTCAAGTTCTAGTATATTCTTCTCATTTAAATGAGTTTATAGAGTAATATTCTGTTAAAAAATAACTGCTAATAATAATATCGCATAACTATTCAACAAGTAAATCTAACGTTGATGTATGTACTCACTCTTAAACCATCTTCTTGATCAACTTTAAACACCCAAGGTGCAAATTCAAACACAAGTTCTAAATGATTTTTACCTGAAAATGTAAATCAATTATATAAATATAATTATTAAAAAAAAAAATAATTTGAAGAAATAAGTACTTACCCAAATGCTGTAAATATTCAATGGTTGCTTTATGTGCCTCAATCACTGGATCAACTTTCTGGGATACTAATAAATTGAGTGCTAAAAATGAATTTATGTTGTGTGTATATTGGTAAAAGTATGGTAAAAGAAAGACTATTGCATAACACAACAGTAATGGAAACAATATTATCAAATTTTGAACAATCAAACTGGAGCGTTAAGTGGAGAAACATTCAGTATTTGCTATTATTTAAATTAGTAATAAATAACCAGTGAGAGGTCATCATTTACGAAAGTCCGCCATGCACACTAAATGCTTTGTTAAATCTTATTTTATTGGATGTTTGTCTAAGGTCTAGCTCAACATTATAATACTAAAACAAACAAAGAATAGATATAGCACACTAGAAGTGAAGCTATAACATACTCCCTGTCACACATTCTCTGGCAAAAATATCACTGTTCCTTCCATCCAATAAACATAGTGACATTTGGGTAAAATCACCTTTTCTGTGTAAATCTTTCTTTCTATACAAAATGATTAATTCTCGATATTTTTGAGCTTTTTTCAGCACTCGTTCACATTCTTCCACATGGCAGTAATTGTCTGGTAATCTTAATAATGGAGCGAGCAAAGCATCATTTGTCTAAAAAATAATAAAAAAAATTTACAGCACAGTTTGTGACTTTTCAGTCGATCCTAAGAGCAAGATAAAATTTATAATATTTTTCTTATCTATAAGCAGGGCTGTCATCAATCTGAACCCCAAAATAAGGACGCCGGGGAAACATGATAAAAAGATAACAAAGAACGAAATGTAATAAACAAAATGTATTCAAACTGATCTTTGCCGGTAGGCTATTATTTTTTCATTGTGGCAATTAATTTGCTGTTATTACGCCATGAATGTATGTGCGTAGCAATCAATGAGGTTCTAATATCATTTCTAGCAAATCAATCATTCGAATTGACCAATCTAAGCGGTATAAAAACCCCTAAAATAAAACATAAATAAGGACACATGTTAAAATAAAGACGTTTCTTATAAATAAGAACGAACATATTTTCTAAAACGAAAACCTTCAAAAAAGGGACGTCATGGCAGCCTTGTCTATAAGGTCAGGGGTCGGCAAACTTTTGTCGTTCGCGGGCCAAAATTGAAGGCTGCGACTCATTGGCGGACCGCAGATGTTTTTAGAAAGTTAAAAACCGAGGGAATGGCCAATAAATCACATTTTTTCACACAGAATTAAGTTGAATTTCAAGCAGCGCGCGAAGACTGATCATTTGAATATTTTCTGTGCCATTAAACCATTTGCACTCAGCATCAGCTTTTTACGTTCGGTTGCCATTTGTCTAATTATAATCCATTTATAGGCTCATTAAACGAGGATCTGGCCCGCGGGCCGTAGTTATGAGGTTATCCATAAAAACAAAACTGCATTACATTATCGAAACACAAAACGCCTATTAAGCAGCATTGCATGATTCATAAACTTGAGAAAAGCAACATGGCAGCAAACTTTTGATCTGATTCAAACATGAACCTACCTTGAGGTAGCATTTTAATAACGTGGTATCTATGATTTTTAACAAGGAATCTTTTGATCTTATTATTTTATTTCCTTCAACAATAGGTGTGGCTGGAGGAAGTTCATTCTCCATCATTGTTTCATTACGCTTCTGAAAAGAAAAGAAAAACATTCTGAAGGATAATAAGAGAAAGACAATTCAGATATTTGTTTTGAATGCAGCTAGCACTTGTCTGTATGGCTATGGTACACAGCTAGAACTAATTATTAATAAAAAATAACAGAGTTGCTCAAACATGAAAATTAAAGTTGAATAGTGGTATCAGCAGAGGTTTTCTCACTTTTGCATTCATGCCAACTACTTGATAAAGCTGAAATATCACTTAGAACATACACAAAATGCGATGAAACTGATCTTTAGGTGAAATTCAATAAGAAATAAAAAAATTTTGATTTATTTTCATTTGTGCAATATCATACTCCATAAGATGCATGATGTCACATTACCCCTGAAAAAACCTTGTCAGTTTTACTTCAACGAAATTGAAATACCTCAGTTAAATATTCGATGAGTGCCAGCAATCCTCTCTCAAGTTGAGAACCTTTCAAATCAGGAGTGTCAGATGGATATGTAAGAGTGCTTCGAAAAACATCTGGAAGAAGATCAGGATAAAGGCCAATCACTTGAGCTGGATCTGACAAACATATGAAAATTTATCAGTTTCCAGTATCCATATTGTCTTGTCTTTCCAAAAATAGCATTGTCTTACCTGTTCCTAGTTTAGAAAAGTTTTTCAAAGATTCCTCAAATCGTCCTTGACAAAATAATTCAAATGCAAGTAAATTCTGAATGTGTTTGATTCTTCTTGATTGATGTATTTCATCTTCTTCAATCATTTCCTACAATTTTTTTACATGTTTATATAGGTTTACAAAGGTAATATAATCCTTCTAATATTGTCAAAAAAAAACACCTTGACAGTTGACACCACAGATGCAATACCAAAATTAATTGCAATGACATATTGTATGTAAAATTCAAATAAAAACAATCTAACAAGTCATAGCCAGTTAAGACCTGAAGTAAGATTTGTACACTGTGTAGATTATAAAAGTAGCATGACAAATTTACCTAACATGTAACATCTTATACAAACTTACAGCTAATCGCAACGCAAGTTCAAATTGTTTATCAAGTAGTAATTGTTTGATTTGATCTGCTATGGGAACTTGTACCAATCCCCAAACATGAGTAAGTGAGGCAACAAATATCCATTCCCTGAAAAAAAAAATTTTAAATTATTGAAACCGACACAAAGTAATTACCTTAAAATCAGAATATTAGCAAATATCAGGTATATAAGACTGTTGTTTGCAAAAACATAAATAGCTTACCTAGGTAGCCTATATAGAATTAGAATACTTGAGAAAATCATCAAAAATAATAGTATTTACTGAACACTAACAAAAGTTGGGACCACATAATAATCTGATAATCCAGGGTGCTCTACATAAACATTACTGATAGGCCATATCTGAAATTGCATCACTCCCTTTTACAATAAATAAAGAAAATATCATATCAATTGGAAGTGTATGAATCAATAACTTAAAAATGGAAATCACACATGCATTTACAAAAATTATCCGATAAAATGTTATGTGGCATGATAGGAAGTCTTGTTGTTCAACAATATCGAACAGCTGTGCTACAAACAATGTCGAAAGACTAATATGAAGCAAGGTTTAAGTCCTGTTTAGTACTCACTTCCATTTAGTAATAAACCTTGGTTTTGGTAATTCAAAGTTTTGAATCTGAAGTCTTGGTTCAAGAGTTCTAATTTCAACATATGATGGCAATACTGCTAGTATATACGGTGCTTGGGTTTCTAAAAACATAGATGTATTACAGTATATAACAAAAATCTGAAAATTAAACATTGGTAATTATAAAACTTATTACACTTACATGGTATAGAATATAATCAAGTTAACCCTTTTTTTCCGCTGTATACAATCGACTTTTTGTACCATTTTATAATATGTAATGACCAGTTAACCAAACGTACAAGGAACACGCCCAATATCTCTTTAAAAAGCTTATTTTCGCGTCTTCCTACTAAAACGTGTCCAAATGACGTAGGCACAAACAGTTCGACCCTACACCGGTAAGAAGAGAGAAATTTCAAAAAATTTTGAGAGAACATTTCACACTCTTATCGCTTCGATGAACACGTGTTACAAAGAAACGAAATTCTAACCGCTCTTCTGAAAGAGCGTTACGTCACCTTTGCAGAAAAACCAGACTCAGCTTCGCAAGCGAAGCATGAAATAATCAATGATATGTGAGAGCATGTCCACGATAGTTGTCTGGAATCTTTGTTTGTTTATTATGTGCGCGAAATTGTTTCCCGCTCATTCAAATGACTTATTTTTGAAGTGATGACAAATACTTTCGTGTATCTCTAAGCTTTGAAGTAGTAAAATAAAAAATTTACAAAAAAAAAAATGTTGACAGATCAAGCACGGATCATAGTTGGATGCTCAAAATGATTTAGTTAGTGCGGAATACTTCACAAAACATGAACATAAACGTAAAATAGTCCGAAAATAACTATTATGACCAAGGATGGTAATACGAATATATTTGTCATACGGAACAAAAGAGTTAAATAATATGGGTAAATTATATTACTTTACCTATATCTATGGGTGCATCTGACCACTTGAATACTTGTTTTTCACCAGTACCATCCTTATCGATAAATATACTCATATCATCTTTCATTAAAATTAATCTGTTTTCATCTAATTTTGTCATCACTGGTTCCATGAGCTTCCCTGAAAGTCAACACCATTAGTAGTACTGCAAAATTTGCATTCACAGTATTACAACGAGTTAGAGTAACAATCCACCCACTCTTAATACATTGATCTCACCTGTAGGAAATAATTCATATGGAACAGAATTTGCTTTCACTGTAACCATGAAATATTCTCTTCTGAAACCAAGACAAACTGAATCACGACACCAAGCCATACATTTTGGTATCTCAGGCATGCTGATATCTGGCTGTAAAAATGGAATAAATAGTTACCGGTAGATATCACTAGTGTATATATATATATATTATAGTATAATATATATATTTTTTACACAAAACTATAAAGAATTTAAGTATTGTTATTTAGAAAGCCAAAGAAGAGCATATGGTCCAAATAAAAATACCTTACCATTTAAATACCACAACCTTGATGAAATTATTGGAAGCCTACCACTAGTTCAGAGAATTAAATTTCCCGTGTTTTTAGGCGTATTAAACAAATATTTGTGAAAGCCATACTCACACATAGCTCATGAAAACTCCGATTTTTCCAAAAATAAAGTAGTAGTTTTCTTTTGACCGCAATGCATAATCTTAAAGTGTGAGCAGTTTCACCTTGTGAGGATGTTCGTGACTGTATATAAAAATTGACTGATAAATTTCAAGTTTGTATTTCAAGATCATGTTGTTTCTATGTTTGCACATTGTTACAGAGCTAACAGCTAATCAGTATTCAGTAGATAATGCTCAAACTTGTTGGGAATGCAATTAAAATAACTAAATTTTAATGGGGGGTATCATAGCTTTTATAATTGAAGAAATAATTTACAAAAATATCAATAAATCTATTATTTGCCATATATCATCATCATTCGGACATATTCAAATTGACAAACTAATATTACAATGTAATGTATCATCATTTGGTATGTTAAAATGATTAGATGAGTTATCTTTATTAGCTCAACTTTACAGAAGTTAATATTCAAAAATACCTCAAGATCAGCAGAAAAACATGCTGCTCCTTTAGATTTTTGTAAGGTAGTTATCAACTGGAATGTTGTCAAATCATGAACAGAAACCATGGAATCTGACAAACTTAATATTAATTTAAGTTCAACACAGACAAATAATTGTTGAATTGGTTTCTTTGAAAATGTTCTATTTGATCGTTCCAACTTTACTTCAGCTCTGTTATGTACATTTGGATTATGTTCAACCTGTAACAAAAAATTTAAAAATACTAGGTAGGCTTATCAGATTTAGATAGTTAATTGAGGAGTGTATATCAGAGAATGGGCTTTCCCAATTATCAAACAGCCAATATTGCAAAAGTAGCTTATAAGCAAAGCTCTACTTGTCAAACCGAACTGGCCATTTCCCTATTGAATTAAATTCAAGAAAAAATAAAAGAATCATCACTCAAAACAGAACTGGGCAAGGCTGGTTAACATTCACTACTAAAGATAACAGAAATGAAATTGTACATTTCTCATCCAATCTAAAACAACAAATTCAAACATCACTTAATTTGAGAGAGAAACCACAAAATAATAATTTTTCAGCAGAATAATGTCAAAATCCCACATGTTTGCTAGATGAATATATTATTCCTACACTATAAACAAGCAAATGTCCTGGCTTTGTTCCAACCAACAAAGTTGCTTTAGGGAGATCTGGTGCTGAGTTATCATTTTCTGACACATCTCCATCATTTATAGAAAATCTGTTCTGTTTGAATAGCTTCTCTTCTCCTACATACATAAGACAGATAGCAGAACTCATTAAATCAGTAAGCTGATGCAAAATATGTCACTCGTGGATGGCCAAATCCAATTTTAATATCCCGATTACACTATGAAATAATATTTTTCAATATTGAATATATTCTAAATACAGCCATACATAACAGAGACTTTGAACAAATTTTGTATGTTCATAGCAATAAGTTGGATAAATGCAGAATGGTTCGCATATACATTGTTTTGACATCTTTCTATTTATAGTGTCAAGAGTTAAATAAGCTTGTTTTCAGCCGACCCAGTGACCAGACGTCAAATGCTGAAAAAAGTCAATGCATTTCGAACAATTTACTAATAAGATATCTCCATATCCAACCAGACCTGATGAAGCCATCCTTCATCATTAAACAGTCTTAAATGTTATTTCAGAACGGTATGTACCAATCACACCTTATAATTAGGATTGATAATTTATTTGGGCTTCACTACGATACAAAAAATGATCAACACACTATCACACAAAAATCACGGATGTTACCAAAAATAATATTTCAACTCACCCCAACAAGCGATACATTCAATAGCCAATGGTAGACTCTTCAGGACGGGTAAATAAATGTATGCGTCATGCATTTTGTTCCGACGGTAATTCTCTAGTAGGCGGTAGGCACGGTCTTTGTCCACGGAAATATTGACAAAAGTTAGCAAGTAAAAGTCCGCCTGTCACAGTGCTAGATTACACTACCTACTGACCTATCTCTACTCTCAAAGTGACTTACTTTGCTATCTTCGACTTCTATACACCGGCCACCGCTGCAGGCATTCATTAATACCCAGCAAATAATCGAACCGCTGGCGGCGTCAGCGGCAGTGTTTCTTTGCAGGTTGAATATAATCATGGTTAACTTTGACTGATCATGATTTTGATTTTATGGCATTTCTCACAACAACAACTGAAAACTTTTTGTGTAAAAATGCTTATAACAGCATAATAATGAAAAAGTTTGTTCCCCCTAGTATGTACAAATCATTTTGGCAAGAGTCCTTTAATATTTCTAATGTGAAGTGGGATAGCTACTTCAAAAATTCGTTTTCATCAACCATTGAAACCAAATTAAGATCTTTCCAAATTAAATTTTTTTATAAATCTATAGTTCTCAACTATACATTACACGGCTTTGGAGTAGTGGATACAAATATGTGTGAATTCTGTAAACAACATATTGAAACCTTATTACATTTGTTTTATTATTGTCCCATAATAAGTCAATTTTGGTCTGAGGTAGACCAATGACATTAAACAACATTGGGTAGACCAATGACATTAAACAACATGATAGGCAACTCTGACGTCACTCCATAAGACTACAGGCAAAACATTGTATTTCATGATACGCTCCAATGCACATATTTCTCGTCGCCTTTCGCGTCCGTTTTCCGCTCGCTTTTGCTACTCGGCGTCTTTTTTACGTGTAGTACCTGTCTTTTTGCGCCTGTAACGAAACAAAATAATCTCTATATCTAAGAAGTTTTGCTTACTTGGAAAGCTGGAATAACAGGCAAGCTGTAAAGAGCAATTCTGGACATCATAGACGTTTTTTTTTATCAGAGAAGATTACAAACGCGATAGCGGAAAGATTTGTGTGGAACATTTTGCAGATAATGACAAAGTTCAAAGTTAGTAATTTTAATGTTTGCGCTTAATCATTGAAATTTCATTTAAAGAGGGTGTTATACAAAACTGTGCTGCGATACAATTCCATAACACAAAGTTTGCACCTATCGAACTTGCTTTTGTAGGTGAATTTATTAGACATATTACATATTCAGTTAATCGTAGGTAACATTGCTGGTACATAATGCATCGTAGATAGGTTTGTTTAAATTTAGGAATTTAGCTCATAGCCCACTAATTAATATTATCTTCTATGCAGGAGGTTGCAGGGCTGAATTCAACTTGCAGCCTTACCGATCACCTGACGATGCTCATTTAGTTTGGCTCGAGCAAGTCTTCTTGAAATGCTTGTGTGGATGGAAACTACCTATATTTTTTGCCTTTTTGCCGATTTTAGACAAATTTATTCTGAGGGATTTCGCATATAATTCTCACTGATTGTTGGCTGTTTATAATTCCTATTGATTGTGAATTCTGATTATAACAATGAGTTGAAAATTTTTTTACCTAATTTACTGGCACCTTTTTCTTGTCAATACTCCAAGCTGAGGTAATAAACATGACAATACATTTATGTCATCTGGAAGCAAAATATGCACACTAATTAATAGTTTGGCACATTGAGATAATACATCATGACAGAAAATACAAGTTAAAGATATGTATGACCATCACATGGTAATTAAAATTGAAAAAAATTAATAGGGGCTGTGGAGTATGGAAAGTTCAAGACAAAGAAAAGAACAAATGTTCATAGCTCATGAACTCTCAATTTTGCCTCCATTGCTTTGTGAAGGCCAATATATTTCGAGTGGCTGAATTGGTTTACCTTTATGATAGCAACGATTTTGTATTTAATATAGCGAGATTATTTCAATTTAATTGAAGTGATATAATTTCCCAAAGCAATGCTTGAATCGTCTAGAATAGATCAGTGGTGTCAAACTCATGGGTTTTCGAGAGCCGCATTGCATTTTGAAAATTGTAAAAAGAGCCGCAAACAGTTTTTGATAATGTATACTTAACCAGATATTTTTAAGATAGTTTTAGTTTGTGACATATATTGTGATGCAACTAAACAGTTGGATTAAGTTTTATTATTTTCTTCAATTTCAAATGCAATTACATATTAATATTTGCATTCCACTATTATTGCAACATTTGCAAGTTACAGTATTTATTATAAAAAATCGTAAAATTCTATGTACAACCATCAAAATCATTTTTGAACAAGCTTTGAATAAGGAAAGAATAATACATACACTAAAAATAACTTAATCTAAATATATGAACCTAAAATTAACAAAAATACTACAGTATAAACTCAATGTTTTATTAATTACATTTGTCCTGGCGTTTGGCATCTTTTTTGTGTCACCAGCATACTAAGGCCAGTCTGAAATGATTTTATAGTACCAACTCTAACTAACGAGGCCACATGATCATGGGTTTATCTGGATCTTTACGAATGTTTAATTAATTCCAGTAATGCAAAAAAGTTACTTTTATCATTTCATGTATAGATCAGTAAAAAAACAAATGACAGATTTTTTCGACAAGACATTTCGCACTACATTGCGTGGCATAGGATTGCTTGAATTATTATTGATATTGATTTTTAGTAACTAAGTCGTTGTATAATTATATTAATATACAAACACATGGAAATTTTCTGTTCGAAGTTGGTCTTCGAATTTGTCATATTGACTGCTGAGCTTATTGTGTTTTTTGATTGTATTGATGAAAATATGACAAATTAAACAATGTGCTTCAGAATTTTGTGAAAAGCAGAAATGTTACAACTCCCATTTTCTTCGAAAATGCCACCTTCTTCATGTACTTTGCGTTTAATTTAATTACTCAAGTGTTTTATTCAAGTATTCTTTTGCTAGCTTGATGTGTATTCTTAATTGGGTCAAAATGTGGACAAAAAAAATTAATATTCCAAAACTACTTTCAGTAAATTGTTTTCTGTGGGAATAATCAATTTCACTTTAGAAGGTTTGAAAAATCTATTACATTTACGGTAGATAAAAAAAAAACTTCCAAAATACTATTACAATTATTGTTAAGCGTTCGAGGGCCGCACTGGAAGTTCTCTGGGGCCGCGAGTTTGAGATCCCTGGTCTAGATTGAAGTTGTTCAAAAAATATATGATAGTATTTTATCATGAATGATGATTATACCCCTTCCGGAATTTCTTCTATAGTACTACCAAAAGTTGATGAACCAAATATAACACAGGTGCAGTGAGGTACCCGTAATCCTCATTTCCAAAGCTGTTTTAAGTATGTCTGGCGTGTTTTGTGCCTTTTTACAAATAAGACCGCTTATGCAATCTTACGCTTTGGAATTTTTAGTTATTTTCCTCAAGCCCTGCAGGATGTGGGGGCCATACACAACTCTACCGGAGGGTTAAATGTCTTTGCATGCCTCCATAGGTTGTTTTTCTATTGCAAATTTCTATTTTCTATTGCATTATATTTCTTGGAATCACACTGTCACTGATATGTCGCCAGACTTCTGATATCTCCCCGTCTGCTATAGTTGTCCTGTGAATAAATAATAGGAAATTGAGATTAGACGAATAGTTGAAAGTTTTGCTTTATGTCGGCTTAATTTCTTGATTGATATACTTACTATTTCTGCTATTGCCTCTTGTGCTGCAAGAGTCTCACAATGCTTAGACAGGTTTGTCCACAACTTTCACATCTGAAGAAAGAGAGGAGATTTATTAATTTTCGTTAAGAATAAATAAAGCAGTCTATATGATTCAGAATGGAAAAGCTAATAAATCCAATATCTCATGTTTTATTTAAAAAATATTTTACTGAATTTGGTATATAAACCAACTAATAAAAGGGTTTAGTCAGAAAATTACAAGCATTCGTGACTCCAAATACTTGAGAAATCAGACTATACAATATAGACCGGTATGAGTGAAATGTTAGGTGAACTTGTTAACACTTTGATTCAATACGCAAATAAAAGTGAATGCGTAATAGTATGTTACAATGAGCAGCAATCAACAATGAGTATATATCCTCACTGATTAAAAAAATCTAACTGGAGGTGCATGAACTATTTGAAACCATAAGGGGTAAGTAAATATGTAATTTTGGCAAATGGGCAACTACGTACCGTACTGAATTAATAACTTCGTAGTATTTGACAAAGGCTGGCTTTCCCACATGTACTTAACAGTGCGATGCCCGGGTGTGATATACAACAATAGTATTCACCTTACCTTTTACCGATTTCTTTTTACCCCAACTTTCAAAAATATCATTAAAATCGACAACTGTCAAAGCAGGCACGAACACCATTCGTGCTACGCCTTGAAAGCAGCACACATCCGCTCGTTTTCGTCTCGTCAAGTATGTGCATTGGAGCGTGCTATCGAATACGATCTTCGGACAAAAATGCCGGAGTTGCGCATCATGTTGTTTAATGTCATTGGTGAGACCAATGACATTAAACAACATGATGCGCAACTCCGGCATTTTTGGCCGAAGATCGTATTTGATAGCACGCTCCAATGCACATACTTGACGAGACGAAAACGAGCGGATGTGTGTTGCTTTCAAGGCATAGCACGAATGGTGTTCGAGCCTGCTTCGATAGTTGTTGTGGTTTTTAATGATATTTGGAAAATTGAAGGTAAAAAGAAATCGGAAAAAAGTAAGGTAAATACTATTGTTGTATATCACACCCGGGCATCGCACTGTTAAGTACATGCGGGAAAGCCAGCTTTTGTCAAATACTACGAAGTTTATAATTCAGTACGGTACGTAGTTGGCCATCTGCCGAAATTGCATATTTACTTACCCCTTATGGTTTCAAATAGTTCATGCACCTCCATTTAGATTTTTTTTAATCAGTGAGGATATATACTTATTGCTGTAACATACTATTGCTCATTCACTTTTATTTGCGTATTGAATCAAAGGGTTAATAAGTTCACCTAAAATTTCACTCATACCGGTCTATATTGTATAGTCTGATCTCTCAAGTATTTGGAGCCACGAATGCTTATAATTTTCTGACTAAACCCCTTTATTAGTTGGTTTATATACCAAATTCAGTGAAACATTTTTTACAAAAAACATAAGATATTGGATTTATTAGCTTTTCCATTCTGAATCATATAGACTGCTTTATTTATTCTTAACGAAAATTAATAAATCTCCTCTCCTACAGATGTGAAAGTTGTGGACAGATCTGTCTAAGCATTGTGAGACTCCTGCAATACAAGAGGCCGAGAGAAATTAGGCCGACATAAAACAAAACTTTCAACTATTCGTCTAACCTCAATTTCCTATTATTTATTCACAGGACAACTGTAGCAGAAGGGGAGATATCAGAAGTCTGGCGACGTATCAGTGACAGTTTGATTCCAAGAAATATGATTAGAATACTCCATAAATGTTTGCAATAGAAGAACAACCTATGGAGGAATGCAAAGACATTTGACCCTCCGGTAAAGTTGTGTATGGCCCCTACATCCTGCAGGGCTTGAGGGAAATAACTAAAAATTCCAAACGCGGTCTTCTTTGTAAAAAGGCACTAAACATGCCAGACATACTTAAAACAGCTTTGAAAAATGAGGATTACGGGTCACTGACCACACCTGTGTTATATTTGGTTCATCAAATTTTGGTAGTACTACTAAAAGAAATTCAGAAAAGGGTATAATCATGATTCATGATAAAATAATGTTATATATTTTGAACAATTTCAATCTAGACCAGGTATGTCAAACTTGCGGCCCCAGAGAACTCCCAGTGCGGCCCTCGAACGCTTAACAATAATTGTAATAGTATTTTGGAATTTTAGATTTTTCAAAACTTTTAAAGTGAAATTGAATATTCACACAGAAAACAATTTACTGAAAGTAGTTTTAAAAAGTTAATTTTTTTTTGTTCACATTTTGACTCAATTAAGAATACACATCAAGCTAGCAAAAGAATACTGAATAAAACACTTGAGTGATTAAATTAAAGTACATAAAGAAGGTGGCATTTTCGAAGAAAATGGGAGTTGCAATATTTCTGCATTTCACAAAATTCTGAAGCACATTGTAAAATTTGTCATATTTCCATCAGTACAATGAAAAAACACAATAAGCTCAGCAGTCAATATGACAAATTCGAAGACCAACTCCGAACAGAAAATTTCCATGTGTTTGTATATCAATATAAATATACAACGACTTAGTTACTAAAAATCAATATCAATAATAATTCAAGCAATCCTATGCCATGCAATGTAGCCCGAAATGTCTTGTCGAAAAAATCTGCCATTTGTTTTTTACTGATCTATACATGAATTGATAAAAGTAACTTTTTTGCATTACTGGAATTAATTAAACTTTTGCAAAGATACAGATTAACCCATGATCATGTGACCTCGTTAGTTAGAGTTGGTACTATGAAATCATTTCAGCCTGGCCTCAGTATGCTGGTGACACAAAGAAGATGCCAAACGTCAGGACAAATGTAATTAAAAAAAACATTGAGTTTATACTGTAGTATTTTTGTTAATTTTAGGTTCATATATTTAGATTAAGTCATTTTTAGTGTATGTATTATTCTTTCCTTAACCAACGCTTGTTCAAAAATAATTTTGATGGTTGTTCATGGAATTTTATGATTTTTTGTAATAAATACAGTAACTTGCAATAATAGTGGAATGCAAATATTAATATGTAATTGCATTTGAAATTAAAGAAAATAAAGAATATAATAAAACTTAATCCAACTGATTAGTTGCATCACAATATATGTCACAAACTAAAACTATCTGAAAAATATCTTTCAAGTATACATTATCAAAAACTGTTTGCGGCCCTTTCCACGATTTCCAACATGCAATGCGGCTCTCGAAACCCATGAGTTTGACACCACTGATATATTCTAGACGATTCAAGCATTGCTTTGGGAAATAATATCAATTCAATTAAATTGAAAAAAATCTCGCTATATTAAATACAAAACCGTTGCTATCACAAGATAAACCAATTCAGCCATTCGGAATATATTGGCCTTCACAAAGCAATGGAGGCAGAATTGAGAGTTCATGAGCTATGAACTTTTCTTCTTTTTTTTGTCTTGAACTTTTCATACTTCACAGCCTCTATTAATTTTTTTTTAATTTTAATTACCATGTGATGGTCATACATACTGTATCTTTGTATTTTCTGTCATGATGTATTATCTCAATGTGTCAAACTTTTAATTAGTGTGTATATTTTGCTTCCAGATGACATAAATGTATTGTATTGTCTTGCTTTTTACCTCAGCTTGGAGTATTGACAAGAAAAAAGTGCCCGTAGATTACGTAAAAAAATGTTTAACTCTTTGTTATAATCAGAATTCACATTTAATAGGAATTATAAACAGCCAACAATCAATGAGAATTATATGCCAAATCCTTCAAAATAAATTTGTCTTCTAATATCGGAGGAAGGCAAAACATATAGGTAGTTTCCATTCACACAAGTCTTTCAAGAAGACTTGCTCGAGACAAACTAAATGAGCATCGTCAGGTGATCGGTAAGGCTGCAAGTTGAATCAGCCCTGCAATCTCCTGCATAGAAGATAATATTAATTAGCGGGCTATGAGCTAAATTTAGAAATTTAGACACAAACCTATCTACGAGGCATTATGTACCAGCAATGTTACCTACGATTAACTGAATATGTAATATGTCTAATAAATTCACCTACTAAAGCAAGTTCGATTGTTTCAAACTTTGTGTTATGGAATTGTATCACAGCACCTTTAAGAGAAGTAAAAACAGTTTTGCTGTTTTGTATGACACCCTTTTTAAATGAAATTTCAATGTTTAAGCGCAAACATTAAAATTACTAACTTTGAACTTTGTCATTATCTGCAAAATGTTTCACACAAATCTTTACGCTATCGCGTTTGTAATATTCTCTGATAAAAAAAACGTCTATGATGTTCAGAATTACTCTTTACAGCTTGTCTGCCATTCCAGCTTTCCAAATGAGCAAAACTTCTCAGATATAGAGATTATTTTCTTTCGTTACAGGCGCAAAAAGGCAGGTACTACACGTAAAGAAGACGCCGAGTAGCAAAAGCAAGCGGAAAACAGTCGCGAAAGGCGACGAGAAATATGTGCATTGGAGCGTTTCACGAAATACAATCTTTCGCATGTAGTCTTATGAAGTGACGTCAGAGTTGCCTATCATGTTGTTTAATGTCATTGGTGAGACTAACTACCTTTCCTTGATCTCCTCCATGTCTGTATGCTGCAAGGATGCTCGATTCAAAAGTCTCGCTGCACACTGTCAGCAAGCAAAACGCGCGAATCAAATGCCGTGTTATACAGACCACTGTCAATAAATAGCTTAGATTGGGTTTTTTGGACACGAAACGTCATTTTTGGTATTATGTCGTTGATCTTGTATTCACACATAAGGCGCACTGGACTGCAAGACGCATCGGTATTACAAAAATGTACGGATTACCGTACAAAGCTCAACAACCAACAGCGTCGCAATTCCCACACGGCAATCAAATTGCAAGACCCTCGATTGTCTATCTCTTTTGAAGCATATCATACCTCAAGTGGGTGGGCACGTACTTGTACGTTTTTTAACTTTATTTTAAGTTATGCTCGCCTTCCAGGTATCTCTGTATTTGTTGTCTGTTTACTTTTTTGTATTGTTCTGTATTTGTTGTCTGTTTACTTTTTTGTATTGCTTGTCTGTTTACTTTTTTGTATTGTTCCGTTTTAGTCAGAGAGCCGAAATAAAATGATTGATTGAAGTCATCGTTAATGCTTATTGGCAAGCGTTCCGCAAGTCTAGGGATCAAGTAATAAACAAAATAATTTAAGTTTAATAATAAATAATCGCCAATTGTGGCAGATTCGAAATAATGTGGTGTAAAAATATATCACACAAAGATTTTCATTCTTCGACTGACAAAACCTTCAATAACGATTGTGTTTTCTTTTCTCGCTTGCGATCAAAATGACGAGAAGTGTGTACAATTATATTAATAGCGCAATATCCATGAACGATGGGGTTAGCACCCGTTTCTTTTTGGTCAAGAATTATTTTCGCACACCTTCAACTTATAGTATATTGAGACCTACCTCATTATTTTCCCATATTCCCAATAAAAGGACAAATCGATTTTTCAAAATGGAAGATCTCATAGAAAAATGATGCTATTCTACAAGGATTTCAATGTAACGTGAAGGATTTCATAATTAACAATTCAGAATATTCGAATTCTTATAATATCCACAGTCGCAATATAGTAGTTTACAGTCTTGACATCAAGAAAACGTATATTTCCTTTTCTTCAAATGTGAGGATTTTCTGTGAAAAACGGCATGGTTTGCTTTGGTTTTTATAGTCTTGGCTGGTAATATATCATTGTTTTTTTGGCTATTCTTTAAAGGACAGTCTCTGCGTTTGTGAGTCAACTTTCCACATAGATGACAACCTAGCAGATCTCCAGTTTTCCTGCATTCATGGCCATCCAGTTCACAACGTTCACAATTTTTGCAGTGTTTCCGACCTAAAAATACAAGTTAACAAATAAGAAAAGAGCAGAAATTCATGCAATGAGTTCCCTCCCTAGTATAATGATGATAATGATACTTGCCTGGTTTTACACAGAAATTACATTCATTGCAGTGAACATAAGTTCTCCCATCCTAAAAATATAAAACAAGATCATTAATACTATCAAGTATAGTATGCAGACATGCAGTATATTATGATCAGTTGAATAGAAAAGGCAATACCTTTGATGGGCAGTTATTGCATATTTTGCAATGTTTATTTGATTCAGCAACATATCGATCACATCGAGAACAGAACCTAAAATAAATGATCAATTCTGTAAAGCTTGCTGCAAATAAGGTCACAAAAGTAAAATGTAAAGCGATAATTCCATCCAGATGCTAATTTACAAAACTAGACAATTGTTCTAAGTGCATGATAAGATCACTAAGGAACATCATAATAGGTTGGTATCACAAAAAATGTTTTTAACCTGTATCCTTCATCAACTGGAAACACTATGTCATTCGTTTTAATGTTGGTAAAAATTCTTACAGGTGATATTCTAGTGCTTGTGATTTTCTTCTTAAACTTATTGTGATTATTGTAGTTCACCTGCAAAGATTTTTTTGTAATTTAATAGACTTAAGTATGTACTGAAGTTTCCGTTTATCTAACTAACAAAGTGTAGCATAGCTGACCATACCTGGTAATCAAGCATATGTAGTGATGGCAATGCTCCAGTTATTCTTTTTTCCATGAAATATGGAAATATCCACAATATTGGCAGCAAATTTTCAGTTTTAGAGGACTTTGAATTTTCAGGAAAACTACATGAACTTATCCACTTCAAAGCTGAAACACAACACAATAATAAATTCAAATCCACAAAAGGTCTTCAGAATTTTGCAAGTTCAATAAGTAACCTAAAGAAGTAATCTAGTAACCTACCACAAACAATTTGTGAGAAAACATTTATCTACACTGCTTAAATACATAAAAATATTTGCAACCTACTATTTGCAATGGCATCAACCAGTCCACCAAAGGGAGGATCCAATACCAAACATATCCTTGAATGTGATTCTGATTTCTCTACAAAATTACGCAGTTTATCAAAACTTTCATCAATGAAATAGTGATTGAACATATTAAAGTGACAAAACTTATCCTGGTCGGAGAATTGTTCCTGAAAATGTTAACTTATATTTAAAAGATGTTTGAAAAATGTAGTTATCAAATGCAATAAAAACTTACATATCTTTTGTCAATGTCTAACAAAATACTGTCAATTATTGTTGTTATATCTTCAGAGTTTTTATGATAAAAATACTTTCTGTATTGAATTTCCTCATGAAGTGAAGGCATTCCAATACATACGATATGTGTGAATTTCAGTTGTAACAAAATATCTAAAATGAAGTTCAAGCTTCGGTCATTCAGGAAATATTGCTGTTAAAAAAATTTGGATTTACTGTAAGCACTCAACTTACCAGTCAGTGAAGCAATAAAATGTTGTTGTATTGTAATTTTATATAATAAAAAGCAGGAAATGGAAAATGTTTTATGTCAGAGCTATTATAACCATGTTTTTGGACAAAGTCCTGTCAAAAATGTATTCATAGCGTTTTAAGGAAGTCTCCATTGTTCCAAAAATATGGAAAACAAATTTCATTATTAAGTATTATTTGATTTAAACCTCATTTACAACCCTATTCAGAGAAATAAAATGTCATACCGCATTCTTCTTATCTTCTTGTAATGGTGGCAGTATTTCTCTTGAAGGATGGAATAAATTGAAAAGGGATAAGCTTTTAATGATATCATGTTGAAAACATTTGTCTGTAGGTTTTTGCCTATATTCCTCCAATCTCACCTACAGAGAAAAAGTTTTAGCGTTATACAACTAAGAAGTGGGATTATGTTCAACTTCATTTCAAAACTGCAGAAATAACAATACATAGATAATGAATGATAGCTATACATATATATTTGCAATGATCTCAACTTTTCCCAAACATGGCACTTCAAAGAAATGACAGCTATGTTGCAAGCGAATAGTTTTCCAATTTGTTTCTAGACAAAGATGAGAAATGGTCTATGACATCTTCAACCAGATGTAAAGTAGGCTATATATCAATATGAACATCATGGGACTTACGATTTGGCAGTTACGACAAAATGATCTCTCAGAGGGTGACAATGACGCCAAACCCTTGAAAGTGCATTCATATAGAAAAGAACCATCATCTTGATGCTGTCCAATATGTATCTGAGAATAGATGCAAGGATAAAAGCTCTAAAAATAGGAATTCATTGTTTTGGTAGACAAATTCATCTGATGCTTTCATAAATCTTGACAATTTTCAATATTCATCATTATTATCTAGTCCATACCACAGATAATGGCTATGATCATATTATAAAAAATAGGAGGACACAATACTGTTGCATGCGACATTTAATAAGTCAAACTCTTAGCATGTTCGCTATTTCAGTTTTCAAACTATGTAAAGCCCGTATCGGCCGTATGTAGACTTGAAGCAGATAAAAATTTTCAGAAATAATAGCTAAGCCTATAGAAAAACAATAAAAAGCTTTCTGAGACCAACGAACTCTCTTACCATACATCAGTTCATAATTAAATTTTTAGTCACCAATCAAAAAATATGAATTAACTTCCCCAAATCGACAGAATTTAAATGTTAGGTATTTTATGTTTTCTATAGGATGTCGTTGATAAGACATATGCAAAGCTTAATCATCCTGAACCAATAATTTTGTGATTTTAATAAAAGATGACTTTGAGGTTAACCAGCTATCAAAGTAAATGGCAATACAGAATGTGATTAACGAAAAACTCAAAACTGTACCTCATTTCCACACTTATTTTTTCTGTTATAATCATCTTCATACAGGAATGCATCACACTCTTTGCGACTTCTGCATGCGGAACATGCGTAATACCGTCTCCCTTGACATTTTCCATGAATGAATTTTTCAAACAACAACATTGGTCCTGAAAATATTCAACATAATGGTCCTGAAAATATTTAACATATTTTACGATATCATGCACCTTCAAATTTTCATCTCAGTATCCCTATAAAATCTAAAGTTCAGGATGGCTCTGTGCTTAACACAATTCAAAACGTGTTTAACACTAGGAATAAGCTTGTTACAAGTAACATTAGGATAGGATTTACATATTTATACCGGGGGAGATGAAAGACGGTTTAATCATGACGAACCACGGCCTCTCGCCCATTATAGCACAATGGCCTAATAATACCAGAATACAGTATCGGTAGTCGCAAATACAAAATATAGTTCTTACTGTCTTACCATGACGACATCTCGGCGCACTGGCATACCAGTCTTTTATGAAAAACACCTCAATTCCTGTTCCCGCTGAAAAATTAGTCATTCCACAGCCAAGCAAAATCACACTCTTGTCTTGGGATAACACCAAACAACCCCACTTAAAATTTACGTGGATTTTTTTTAAATTTTAATATGTATTTTATATTTGTCCACCAAATACATTGTATTAATGAATTGGAGAGAAAATATTCTTTCTTGCATAAGTTATGCTTTAACTGAGTTGGATAGACGATTTCTTAAATATTTCCATTAAATTGGGGGGAATTTCCCTACTTTCCGCACGGTGGATTTTTTTTAAATTTCAATATGTATTTTATATCTGTCCACCAAATACATTGTATTAATGAATTGGATGAGAAAATATTCTTTCTTGCATAAATTATGCTTTAACTGAGTTGGATAGACGATTTCTCAAATATTTTCATTAAATTGAGGGGAATTTCCCTACTTTCCGCACGGTGGATTTTTTTTAAATTTTGATATCTATTTTATATTTGTCCACCAAACACATTGCATTAATGAAATGGATGAGAAAAAATTCCTTCTTACCTAAATTACGCTTTAACTGAGTTAAATTGGAGATTTTCTATATTTTTTCCTTAAACTGGGGGGAATTTTTCTACTTTCCGCACGGTGGATTTTTTTTAAATTTCAATATGTATTTTATATTTGTCCACTAAATACACTGTATTAATGAATTGGATGAGAAAATATTATTTCCTGCATAAATTACGCTTTAACTGAGTTATATTGAATTTTCCTCAAGTTGGGGGGTATTTCCTAACTTTCCGCATAGTGGAATTGTTTTAAAATTTAGTATATGTTCTATATATCTTCATCAAATTCACTGTATTAATGAAATGGATGAGAAAAAATTATTTCTTGCATAAATTACGCTGCAACTCAGTTAAATTTTAGATTTTGTCGATAAATGAGTTTCTGAGCAATAATTCATTTTATCGAGGAAAAAATGTGTTGTTTCAATCATTTTTGTTTTTTATTATGTTTCAGGTCTGTCGTCAGTTTCTAAAAGGGAGAATCGCCTAATTTTTTGCATCCATGTAGGGCTAGGCGCAATTAAGTGAATTCGCGACAACTGTCGTGGAACATGGCGGGTTCAAATTTGGAAAAATTGGTAACTGTCCGCTGGAAGTGGCCGCTAGCTTTACCTAGGTGACAGGTGTTACAACCTACTGTTTACAATTCACAGAATGCAATCATAGGCGGGAAAAGTTTTGCTGGGCAGAAAAGTGTGACATGGACCCCGAAGCTGAAGAGAAAACGAATGTTTGCTACACATTGAAGTATTGCATAAAATGGTGACAGCAGACTTGCACCCACGTACATTTGTACTCATGACATTTTCACGCATATGCATGACCGTGTTTCATACAAACTTCAATTACCAACTATAAATATATATTCGAAATGAAGATGACCGTACATTTGAACCAATGAGAACCCACGTACCTTTGAATTCATACATTTGCACTTGCATATCCGCGGGTTCAATCTATCTATTTGAGGGTGCTAAAATCCATGGGTTAGGGTTAGTATGCGTTCATACATCCGTAAAAAAAAACCATACGTGCAATGGACCTTTCGCCGAGTATTGACCGCTTTGTTTACTTCGTGACATTGGCCAATCAGCAAGATGCAAAGAGTGACGTAACAATGCTCCCTTTTCGCATCCGCTCAGACAGATTTTCAGGCGTGGTCGTAAACATTATCTCTTTTTCGCGTGTTTGAACTCTATTCGTTAGTTTTCTGTTGTGTTTTTGAACTCTATTCGTTAATTTTCAGTTGTGTTTCGGAAATTCAAATATAGATCAGAGAATTCAATGATTACTCTGTCTTCTTAGAAGTTTTAATTTAATTGCAGTAATTGTTGTTGTTTACTTCGTGACATTGGCCAATCAGCAAGATGCAAAAAGTGACGTAACAATGCTCCCTTTACTTGTTTACTTCGTGACAATTCTTTACAAGTGACGTAACAATGGCCAATCAGTAAGATGCAAAAAGTGACGTAACAATGCCCCTTTACTTGTTTACTTCGTGATAATGCTTTACAAGTGACGTAACAGAGAGAGATTTATTAATTTGTCAACCAAAAAAATTGCAGTCATCAATACAGTAAAAAAGTAGCAACAATAAAAAATTTTTGGTATGGACAGGAGGGAGTGATACGACCATGCGGTCATCGAGGTCAACTCCCACCTATTTCGCTTGTATGAATAAGATTCAAATTTTAAGATGACTTAATGAAAAAGTTAGACCAGTAATATTTTTACAAACTTTAGGAACAAAAAATAATATAAATGTAAACAGATTATACCTAATATTGAATTGGGACTCAAAATAAACACGATATAACCTGAACGGGTAAGAATAATAAGGTGAAGAATGAAGTCAACATGAGATATAGTTGGAAACTTAGTTGCACTAATAATATCAGTCGGCTTTAAACTATAATAAATAATTTATTATGTAAACATTTTAAATATATGTATAAAGAAAAAAATATATATACAGCGGATCAAGCGCTTCAAACAACATGGCGAAAATTTGCAACCAAGCTAAGAAGTTATTGAAACTTAGTAATATAACTAACTTCTTTATCATTGGAATTAAAATAAAAAAAATACTTTTCACAAAATTTATATTCAATCAAAAAGAAAAGGACACGGGGATCAGTGTAGGGGGCATTTTGGACTTCAATTCTTAGCCTTATTAGCATTGTCAAATGTTTGAAGATTCCACCAGAATATCAAAAACAGGATAGGATTTACATATTTATCCTGGGGGAGGGGAAAGCCAATAAGGTGGTTTAACCATATGGCGAACCACTGCAGAATACTTGAATTTTTATTCCTGGAATTTTAATAAATAACAATCGTGTAATCAGGGAGGTTGTATGCTTGATACATTTTTGCACACAGTGATATCAAAGTTTTTGACTACGGTAATTGAAAAAGGGTAGAGCTCAATAAAGGCACTCAAAAGATCTCATTTATATAAATACAATATTCAAAAGAAATAATATAACAGTAATCAAACATATAGGATAATTCTTATATCATTTGGATAATTATGAAAGTGATGGACAACTAAGACAAGTACAGTATGATTAACGAATTAAACGGGTTAATAGTTGATGGTTGAATAGAACAACATTGCACGCTATAAAGAAATATCAGGTTAGGAAAAACATGTCATTTAAGATTGCACACTGCAAGTTTAATTATATTTTGAACATTGCATAAACAGGTTGCATGAGTTCATTAAATTTTTAAGGTGAGGTCTTCTTATAGGCCATATTAACTCATGCATACTATAAGTAACAAGGAATTGTCACTGTATAATTTCAGTACCCATGTGACGTAAGAAAGTGTGCATAATATTTTAGTAGTAGTATAGAGAGCACAGTAAATATAAATTGGTACAACATGAATAAATCACAAAAAATGAGATGATCAATAAAAACAGATTAGTGGTGTCATAATGTACAATACAGAATGAGTATGGGAGGAAAATTTGCAAAGATTGTAACAAAAAGAATGCATTCAATGGAACTCATCAATGTAAATAACAGAACATATATCAGAAATTTCCTAGTACAGTATGAGTTGTATTTGTTTCCAAATATTGGCATAGAGGGTAATAAATTAACCATGGTGCTATACAACTTATGACCCACAAAAAATTAAGGGCATCCACAATTTATGGTATCCACAGAAATATAGAACATATATGATAAATCCCCTAGTACAGTATGAGTTATATTTGTTTCCAAATATTGACATAGAGGGTAATAAATCAATCTTGGTGCTAGACAACATATGAGTTCTGACCCACTAAAAATCAAGGGCAGCATCAATTTATGGTATCCACAGGAACATATTATGATTAAATAGGTTAATAACAGTTGATGAAACAGCAAAGCAAAAATGCACACTATAATAGAACAGTTCAGGCAAATTGTGTTATTTAGGGCTACACACTATGACAAACAAACAGCAATTGATTCATAAAATAGAATTGAGGGTTAGGTCTAATTGGCCATAAAATCAAATGCGGACTGTTGGTAATAATGCACAGAGTGTTTATTTCCAGACCTTTGTGACATTGGCCAATTAGCAAGATGCAAAAAGTGACGTAACAATGCTCCCTTTTCGCATCTGCTCAGACACTTTTAGTTTTCTCACTCAGACAGATTTTCAGGCGTGGTCGTAAACATAATCTCGTTTTCGCGTTTTTGAACTCTATTCCTTAGTTTTCAGTCGTGTTTCGAAAATTCAAATATAGATCAGATAATTCAATGATTACTCTGTCTTCTTAGGAGTTTTAATTTTATTGCAGTAATAATAGAATTAGTGTAGAAATAGCAGTGAGAGACTAAACTAAAACTCTTCACCGGTTTTTTTAAAAAACAGATTGTTGTATGTGATGCATCATAACGATGATTTGAAACAAATACTCCATTTTACAGGCGCCATCTCGCGAAACCACTCGTAAAATAAGCCCCGGAAATTTTGCAATGGTAAAGTATAGGAAGAAGTTTTCGGGGGTCAAAGGTCGGGAAAGGTCCATAGTATGCAGGTGCAATTGACTTGGGTTGAAAGTACGGGTTCAAATGTACGTGGTTTCAATTGTAATAGAACCGAAATGAAGATGTATCACAAATTTTAAGTAGACTATATTCTGGGTAGTGAGGGTTGCTACGTTTTTATTGTCATTGTGAGTTATAATCCCATCCCCCTTTTTTAGTCATTTTTAGACACTTCAGTGGACATAACGATCGTTTCAATATTATGTTGTTGTTATTGTTCTTCTTTGTCACCATCATTATAAAATCGCTTTTCTCTTCGAATACTGGACCAATTGCTTTGAAATTTTCAGTGGTTAGAGTTTGATTTTTTTTTTCCAGAAAGCTATCACTTTCATTTATTCCTAAATTTCCTATGAGATCTGATATTTCATTCAAAATTTCGTCGTTTTAAAATTTACTCATGGGAACACTGTTTTAATACTTATTTCAAGCGGTTGCGTGATCAAGCCTGCAGGTACGTTACTGCTCAGTTACCGTACCACTGTGAAATTGACTTATTCCTTTCGCGATCTTACTATTGCAGTAATGTCGAATG